TCTGAATTCTGTAGGAGCGATGTGATTGTGCATTTTAACAGGACTTACTTTCGTTCATAGACGACGTGTTTGCGGATGCTCCAGACCCGGCCTGGATGGCTCGATTGTCTCTGCCGCTCTCTGCTGACTACAGGGAGAATGTTTTTGTTCCCGAGGGACACTCCTCACCAGAAACACTTCTTTCACCCCAGGCTCTTCAGGAGGCCACAACATGCTTCTCCACCTTTGGGAAGACATCTGGTAAGGGCAGCGCGCTGCCTGGGCACCTGTTCTCTGAGGTCAGTACCCTCTTTGAGATGCTACTCACTCAGAAGGCTGACTCCCAGCCCCAGACCTCTGCAGAGATGCTCTACAGACTCTCTGCTGCATATCGACGCTCACTGGGCCTGGACGGGACAGGAGGGGGTGCTCAACAGCCCCGAAGCCCAGCAGCTGAAAACAATTCTCATGCGACATATTCCTCCGGTATGGGGTTAGAGAACCACTATTAGATTGCAGTGGAAAAGGTCATGCACACGCCTGCTGAATAAACTCCATTGGCTTCTACTCTGGAAGCAGAGATTCTGCATTGTCGTGACCTACAATGAAGTTTCAATGGGGCAGAGGTTCTGAAGAGTTAAGAACTTTGTTAAGAAGATCTGTTGGATTGCCTGGATTGTTTTCATTTTTTACTACCAGGAGCCTTCGTGACAGAATTTTCTGTTTTCCGGCAGGCGAGAATGAGTTTGAATTTTATGAAAGGATCAGAAAGTGAGACACTTGGACCTTACCATTACACCATGTCTCCTATAAAAAGATCTTGCTCTGATGAGTTAAGAACAGTTGCATTACCTGAGACTGGATGTTGTGAGGCTGCTGCTTGAGTGCTTACAGGTATCAATACTCTAGTCAAAGGCAAAAAACTGAAACATAAGAATTGTTTTGACCCAAAATGTCATTCACACCAGCTGTGGAGATGTTGAGTTTACCAAACAGTTGAAGCAGATAACTGTTTCAAAGGTTAAATTCTAATGCACAGAGCTGCCTTAGCACATATAAATCCATCTATACTTTTCTAATTTGTCTTGCTCTCCAGAAGACATTGAGCTATCTTGTTATATTGGTACAGTATCTAAAAAAACATGACATCATTCTCTGGTTTTACTAGATTGTAAATAAAAGTAACATCAATTGTTATACCAGGCAACTAAAATACGGTTACTCGTTTGAGTGACTGTTTATTGTTTAGAAAACAAAAAATAGAAAAATGTGGTACAACACAGTGGAGCACCTCACATTTAATTGTGAGGAAAATAACATTTGTTAAAACTCTGAAATGTGTTAAAATACTAAAATAAAACTTTGGTGCTCTGTTTTTTAAAAAAACAGATGACAACAATAACATACATATTCATAGCAATACCTTCTGTAAGATGTACTTGAACAGATGCTGATTAAAACCTAAAGAGCAAAAATAAGATGGATTTTAAACACGTAGCGTTCTTAATGGTGATAATCATTGCTCATACAGTATATTATTTATGCAAATCGCTTACACCATTTTAAGCATTATGATTCCCTTGGAAACCCTGAAAGGTTTTATAATTATGAGCTTTAGCATTTTCTTCAGTCCAGACATGGAGATGTGTGTCAGTTTCAAAATAATTTTTATCCAAAGTTTAAAATATTCTCCTATGCCCCTTGTACACACAATTGAAATTCTAGTTCACATGAATTTTCAATTAGAACTGTGACTCCATATTAAGAAGAAAAACATAGCAAGACAGCAATTAAAAATAACTCTCAGTGTTAAAAGATTTTTGTTTAAATGCGTTAACGACTTAACCATAAAATGATTTTAATCATATTTAAATGAATAAAAACTTAATCTCAGATTAAACAACTACTAAACTGCCCACATTGAGCTCTCTAAGTGTTACATTTAATGTATAATAAAAGGTGTATTATATTTTATTTGAAAACCTTCAGTGTAATGTGGTTTTCCATGTTCTCAAACATGAACTTCATTTTGTACATATTGTTTAATAAAAAAGCTACAAAACTAACAATGTTCCATTACATCAATCATTACATTTCACCACATCATTAATCAGTGTAAGAATGCATAATTTCCAAATCAATAGGGGATGTATGTATAATGGAAGAGTAAAAGAATAATTTGCTGTTGTAGTATTTTTTCAATTCATATTTTATTAATGCCGCTTTGATCACAAACTGAATCTTGTTCTTGTTCTCTTGACAAGCATGAATTTTCATCACACATTTGAAAGTCTTTTGGTTACTTAGAAAGAAAATAATGCCTTTTGTTTTAATTTTTGTAAGGGACCAGCAAAATATTTTAATATAACTATGGAAGATATTTTAATTATTTTTCCATAAGAAACCAGATCCTGTGATGTCTGTTGCTACAGCCACAGACAGATGTTGTGAGCTGGCAACCGAGTATCTGGGGCTTGCTCTGCTTTTGAAAAGGTAAAATCACAGGTGAAAAGTCTGGATGGATTTATAAAGTCACTGGATCGGTACCCTTAACCGAGCACTGGTGACACTGGATTTCCAGCATGTCCTGCACCTGATGGACGACAGAGTACTGTGGGCTGCTGTGGATGTAGTGCAGAAAGCCCTGTGCTTCTCGGAGGTCTATGTTGTTAACCAGCAGGGTACAGCCTGTTGAGAGCAGGCCTTCCTTCTCCAGAGCTTGGAGGTCAGGCAGGTACTGTTCCACGTCGTGGTCCATGAGCACCAGGCCCACAGCTCTGACATCGAATCCTGTCAGCATCTGGGGGATGGCAACAGCAGATGGGGAGCCCACCATCTGGAACTGCAGGACAGACAAGAAGCTAAGCAGTGTGAAGTAGGGAGTTGTGTCAGGGTGAGTAGGCTGCAGAGGAACAGGTAAAGGTTTATTCCATGCTGAAAGGAAAAGAAAAGAGACACAACGTTTTGACTGTGGTGCCTTCTTCACGTTTCAGGCTCCACAGCTGAAACACTGTCTCTTTTCTTTTCCTTTCAGCATGGAATAAACTTTTTCATGTTCCTATAAAGCAAGTACTGGTGTATATGTTAGTCATCATAGCACCCAAAGGTCTATCCAAACATTGTCAAAACCCATACTACCAACCAAATTCTCATACTGTAACTGACTTCTGCAGCTAATGGTCAGAGAAAAGTCTTGGCGCATCCCTAAAATGCAGCACACCTGGGAGTGTTTGAATCCAGCCACTAGAATCATCTCCTCTGCTGCCTCTGCAGCGCTGGGGTCCTGTTCCACAGTGTAAAGCTTTGAAGAAGGAGGCAGCAGTCTGAGGATTCGGATAGCGGAGTATCCGCACTGTGTGCCCAGTACTAGGGCACATGCAGGGGTTGCCTTTCGCACCACTTCATCCAGGAATTCACCTGATGAACAAGTTGGACAGGTGACAACATCAATCCAAAGCATGAGGAAAGAAGTACAAGTGTTGATTTATTCAATGGTGGTCAGTAATAATGTTAGGGTAGCGCTTATTGGTTTTCAAGAGTCTACGATTAAGAATATTCATTGCTTATGAATTCTCTTATCTACTTATGACCGTTACCTCTATAAGGCAATGCACTGCAATTGTTAGAAAGCACAAATCACATGTGATATGAGGATCTTCGACCCTCTGTAAGACATACTTTTATTGAACCTGCTGTCTAAAGTAAGCGTGCATACCCTTCTCCCGGCTGATGACGAGAGAAGGTTGCGTCTCAGCGTAGAGGTCAAAGGTTTGAAGCACGCTGTCGGGCTGCCCGTGAGTTGAGTTCATGAGGACAAAGTCGTGAGCGCGCTGAACGCGCGTTCCCGAGTGCTTTCCTGCCCTGCCGAAAAACACATTTCGGCAAAAAGCTCCCAACTGCTCCCGATAACGAATCGCCATGGCAACAAACACCGGGATCAAAGGCAAATAGACCGCAGGCAGCCACATCTCTCACAGAGCACCTTCTGCAGAAGACGAGGATTAGTTAGGAGAAAAAAGTTCCTTATATAAATAAAAAAGGACAATCATCCACATTATATCTACAAAATATTTTGATATAATAATAGAGGGATGACACGTTTATGGTTTTTCAACATGCAATGAAAGCTATTTTGAAGGGTTATAATAACTTCTATTAGCTGCGAACTTTCCTTGTAGTTTAAAAATCCTTGTAGAATAAAAAGCACAAAAACTTGTCCGTAGCAAGTACTGGATTTCTGAACTGGAACTGAACTGTTGCCAAAATCCTGTTTCAAGCTCATTTCCAAATGGGTTTATAAATGCAACATCGCCACCTGCTGTCGAGAACAAAGGATTTTAATTACAACTAACAACAAAATTAACTGTTTTACGTTTTTTTGGGGGGTCTGGAAATGGCATTAAGATACCAGGCTGAGAGGAAGTTAATCACCCAGAACAATGGCAACGACATTCGGCTAAGGCGCAGATCGCCGTCGCTGTTCCTCAATACGTACATCAAGCGTGCATCCAAATAAAAAAAAACCTCTCAGAAGCTAAGGTGCTATACTGTACATAAAAAGTAAACGTATACTGAATATTATTTGAGATCTAAATCTAAGAATAAAAAAAACGCAATATTCACAAATCTTATCACTTACCTGATTAAAGTAGTTAAAAAAGAAATAAATCAGTGTAGCAGCTGAGGCAACAGGTGAACTTCGTTAGGATTCAGCAACTCCCACATTACCTGAGCAACGTTTAAAAAATGCGATTTAAAACGTAGGTAGCACAGGCAATCTTTTATCTTTACGGTGTCAAGGACAAATGCTGTGTTGTCAGATACAGGCGGGTCCAGTTGCATTTTTTAAAATATTCTTCGTAATTCAGCCTGTCAAAACCAGGTGAACAAAGCACGCCTGCACCAGCTTTGGCCAGCCAATACCTGCGTCAAGATGTAATACAAGCAGATGTTTGTTTTCTCTAAACCACGTGTAAATTAATGTAAGTATACTCGTGCTTTATGCTTTATTTTATGAAAGCTAAGAAAAAAACGTTTTGTATCCGGTATTACTGTGTATTTTGTATTACTGGTTTGTATCCAGTAACGAAAATAAGCTATATTTTTGTTGTACTTTTTTTACAAAATTTACATTTGACTGTTAATTTCTTCACATTGCTAAGTAACCTTAAAGATGTAGCGTACAATTTCACGTCAAGCTAACTCAGAGGCTCATTGGATTTTTGGTAGATGTTTTAGCTCAAGAAAATTAGCGTAATTCGATACTTTACTGCTACTACTCTTCTGTGCTTAATGTATGTTATATATTAAATTAAAATTCAAGATGATCCGGCTCACCTATTTTGAAACAATTCAAAACCCAAATCTGCACATAAAAGTCAGTCATAAAACTCAATTAGAAAAAATAGTTTATTGTTGCTTTACCTGCATTGCACTGCAGCTTCGGCACAGTCCATTAGGCAATTATATTGTAAAAAGCTTCACTGGCAATTCATCGATTCTAGATTAGAATATTCATCGATGACTACTTACATCTGTACAGGATACATTGCTACAGAATTTCAAAAGCAATACACATTTACAACATTTAACTTAAACTTTAGCTCAGTTCCTTTCACATGTACTGCATTACAAAACAGCAAATTGCATTTCATACAATTATCTAAGTGCTTCAATTCTTTTTTTCAACAGTGTAACATTTTTACTTCTCTGAGCACATTATACAAACCTATCAGTTTTTAAAACTCAAAGATTTCTGAAAACCATAAAGCCACGCAAACTACAGAAACCCCAATGCAGTTTGTGTCTCAATACAACAATTGTTGGATATACAGTAAAATTTCACACGCAACAAATTTGGCATACAGTTGCTAATACAGCTCGGGGCCATTTAAGAAAATGGAGGAAAAAAAGAAAAAAAGCTTATCCTTTTCATTGTCTTAAAACTTGCACGTGCACATCTGAGAGATGTCCGCGAATAACCAAGCTCAGTTTCATCTTTTTTAAAATCCACTTTTCAAGCAATGTTGATGTTAGCTGAAGGTGCCTTTCCCTCTTTTTTAACAAAAATACTGTATGGGACACTTTTACAGTTTTCATTATTCTTATGGATGTATGATAATGTACACATTTATTTTAATTTCTTTGTTTCTGGGAAAATATTTCAATTAAGCCTAATGCTAGTCTGAGTTATAGAAAAACTATAGAAAAAGTTCAAGGCAGTATGGATTCATCAATAACAGGTAACACACTGTACAGTTCCTAATGACAAGGCACAATCTAATGAGAATTAAAATTCTTTTTGTTCAGCCTCAATAGCTGAGGAAACCTGTCCTTTAAACAATATATGACACTACCGAAGATTAAAAGATAAATGGCATTTCTGAATCACAGGTAAACATTTATTGGCACATTTTTCTTCCAGCGACAGAATCTGGAATAGTGTTCAAAACAAGTCTACTGCAGAATTGCATCTTTGCCCATTCAAGTCTAAAATAAATAATCCAATAAATCCACAGTTTAAGTTAACTGTGCACTCAAAGTTCGTTTACACCGTTTTCAAATGCAAGAAACAGCTGCAAAATGTTTTTAAACAATTTACACACAGTAGAAACAGTCTACATTGTTTAGCAGTTCTCTTACTGTATTTATCATAAGGCTTCAGGGGCAGTATTCTGGAATCACCCAATTTATAATTAGTAGACCTTTTAGAGATTGACATGTTAGAGAGCATATAATAATGCAAATAAGGCAAATCTACCCAACTCCGATTGTCCAGCTACAGTGTCTCGGCTTAGATAGTCGACAGCTTTTTAGCGCCTCATCCATTTCAGAAAGCTCAGCAAGAACACTGGAGGTTACATTTATCATCGGTAATGTGTGAATACTGTCAGTGCTCCATGAATGAGGAAGAGTCCGGGAGATGCGATTTGGACCACAGGGGTCTTTGGTTTTACTGGCATGGTCTCGTCTTTGCGAAAAGGTCTCTGCCCCAGAAAAGCAAGGAGAGGAACTGACCGATCTCAGCATTACATCCTCGGAAAGCCCTCTGCCTAGAAGAGAGGAGACGCATTGAGCATAGTTAAGCTAATGTGCCGTTGTCAACAACAAGAAGACAAAAATATCTTAATTTAGGGTTCTGGGTAAATCATGCGTCTGTTCTCATTTTAGCTGTACCAATTAATGGAATGACCAGCTCAAATTTAAAGTGGTGGTCTAACCCAATACTGAACAGTGTCATTTATAAGGCCTCACCTCCTTCACCCTGGCCCCAGAGGGCTCTTAGCATGCAGCAAGCCTGCTCACTCCCTGCAGCAGCAGCCTGCTGGTAATGATCTAGTGCAGTCATGTAGCACCGCTGGACACCAAAGCCCATCTCGTAGCACTGGCCCAAATTGAACTGACTCTGGGCATCCTGCAGTGAGGGTAATACCAAACCGTTTAGTGAAATGTTCCACGACAAGGAATCCATAGCACGCCTCGTGTGCCCGCTTGTATCTCGGAGTAATAATATGAGCACCTTATTTTGCTATGCAAAACAAACAAAAAAAACACCTCATGAAATATTCACCGGCTGTGAGGATTTCATGCAGTGTTGTGATTTTTTTTTTTTAAATATACAAACAGATGAAAATCAACTTATATGCTGGGCTAAAATTACTCGCATAACATATACTTAATATATATATACTAAATGTTATTTAGATGGACAAAAAACTGGGCCTAACTGATGAGGACATAAATACACAAGAACATGATCGAAATGCAAAACGTGCTAAAATATAAAATACACATTTTACTTTAACTGTTGTTAGAGTGTTGTGAATATGAGGTTAAATGTCAGACTCTCTCACATTACGCACTTACTGTTGGCTTGTAATGCAATGACAGAAGATGCTCACCCCATTCTTTGCTGCCATTTGCAGATAATGAACAGCTTTCTTCCCATTTCTCTGGGGCTCCTGAGAGAAAAGCACTCCCAGGTATGCCTGAGCCTAACAGACACAGAAAAAGCCTCTTATCAGACCTAGAAATAGGCAGGAAAGTCACTTTGGGGATAAAAATACATGCTATTTCTTCTACATTCAGATATTCTTCATTTTATATAGTTGCGGCTATTCAAATAGTTTGGAGCCTGCATTACAGGTAGCTTGCTCTACAGAATGGGTTCTGCATGTTCAATTCATTAGCTTATCTTGTTTTAAGACATCCCAAAACTGCATGGACTGAACACTTGCACTGAACAAAACAATTTGTATTTCAGTGTGGTGCACACTGAACTACCACAACACACACCTCTCTCACTCCAGATGCGGCTGCCTTCTCCAGCATTGCAATAGCTCTGCTGGAATCCTGGGGATCTTGTTGCTCTTTACTGTGCAGGAGATACTTTGCATATCGGAACTGTGCCTGGCTATGTCCAGCAGCAGCAGCCTGGCGGTAGTATACAGCTGCCTTAAAGAATGTGAAGAAAAGAAACACAGCGGTTTACTCAATTTTTTCCAACATGCCATTGCAGGCCTTAAATGCATTAAAAATCATTTTTTAATTTTTTAAACTATGAAATCGCCCTTCTTGGTGCAACTACTGTATCTGCTGAAAACATCCTTCTTCAATGCATAACTGGCTGTGATTGGATCAACTGTCTTCACTTATTTACTTTTTAAGGGCTTTTAACATAAAGGAATCACAACTGTTAAATAATACAATACAATAATTGTTAATAATAAATAGCATTAATCAAAATCACCTTTAATTGAAAGAATAAATCTAATCTCACAATATTACCCATAAGGTGAAACCAAGGTCTGAAAATATGATGGGGCTAAAGTAGTTATCAGTAAAATTCAAAACTGTATGAGATACCTTTTCCATATCCTTTGCGACTCCTCTTCCTTTTTCATAGCAGACTGCCACATTGAAATGTGCTTTGCTATAGTTATGTTTTGCAGCAGCCAGGAAACATGAAAAAGCTGTGCAGTAGTCTCCTCTCTTTGCATTCTCCAGACCTGAGTAATAGACACATAATTAGCACTTGGCTGTCCTAAAGAATTATTTACCAATATGGGTTGATTTTTACAAAAAAGCCGAGAAGATAGTGATTTACAGCTAAGTTGTGCATTTTGGTAGAATGCCTTATTCTGTATAACAGACATTTTTTAATCTCCAGTAATCTATTCTCATTCACTTTTCTTAATGTTGACTACTTTTCAGAATCAGCAGTACTGCTTTACCTACATTCCCCAAACAGCCTATTTTGCATCAGTATTTCTGTGTCTAGCTGTCGTGTTCTAAAGAAAAAAACACACAAGCAGACTTCTAATTTCTGAAGTTATTTCAGCAAGGTACTAATAAGATCTTACCAATTATGTTTAGAATGATGGGAACATTAGATTCTGTGACAGACTTGAAGTTGTTTGCTGCACCAGTTAATCCTTCCTCAGGGGGAAGAGAATTATTTTCTGTAAGATTTTCAAAGGCTTCAGCATCTTCAGAATCTGCAATTACAGCAGACAACCCGTCTTCTAAATCAGGAAACAAGACAGTCCATCATATCGTAAGTGTTCAGACAGTATTAAAGATATCCTCTCCGTAAAATGATACCAATTATTAAGATTCAGAAATGGTGTTGAGATTACATTGTTTTATCTTATTTGCTTAGTACTGTAATATTCAGTTATACCATAAAATCTGTTTAGGTTATATAAATATTAAATATATATAAACAAATATTTTTCGTTGATGTCTTAACTAACTGTCAAGGATGCTCAATGTTGTTTTTCACAGTTTAAATGGAACAATAACAAATGTCTGGGTTTATAAGACATGAGACAAAGAACAATCACAATATCTATGTAGACAAGACAACATGAATTACACTAGTACTGAAACTTCTCAGGAACTTCATGAGCCATTTTTGGCTCTTAAAATCCAGACATTATGAGGCCTTACCTGTAACAGAAGTGTCTTGGTTGAGAGAAGCAGAAGAAGATAAATCTGCTGTAGAATCCTCAGAGCTGCCAGTCTCTAAACTTCTCAAACACCTGGCATTTATGCTTCTAGGCAGGGCATTATGACAGGACACTGAAAATGAAAAGTTAGTTAAACTGCAGCTTTTTGAATGTATATGAAACCATGTTCTTAATCAGGCTTTTCTTGTTCTAAAAAATAACAGATTGTAAGAATTCTGTTTTCTCCATAATATGTGGAACTGAGAGATTCAAATAAAACAAAAATGTATGTCATTACTCTCTATGTATTAGTTATTATTTTTGTGTAAAAATGAAGCTGAAATGATTTCTAGTTTATCATTACAGGTCCTCATTTGCACAATTTATTGACGGTGACATAAAAAATGTACATTTTGTATTTAAATTAAATGTAAATATCACATTTTAAACACATTTCCTGTCATTTAATAAATTGCATGATTAAGGCATCCATAAAGTATGTGCCAATCTAGGCTTACTGACTGCCACTACCACTAAACTAATTAAAGAGGGAGCTTGTGTTTAAATAAATTAAAGGTAGTTTTTTCTTTCCATTCTTTATCACAATATCTTCTCAGGATAGTTTACTGGTTTGCACAAATTGCCCTTGCCATTATTTTTTTAATCCAGAAACGACACCCTCGGATTTATCAGGAAGTTTGCAGTGTACACAGCTGTACAAGACGTATCAGTGCACTTACAGATCTCAAGAAGAGCCCTGTAGCTGCATCTATGAACCTGCAGAGGCTCTCTGTACTGGCCTTTGTCACTGGGGCTGGAGAACTGGGAGTGAATTCGTCTGAAGACCTGCAGAAAGAGCACTGTGGCCGCACCCTGAAAGTCAATTAACAGTAGAAATCTTAGAGCTTTAGCTCCTTCTGAAAACACGTGAAGTTCTCTCAGCATGGGGTTAAGGAAACTTACTCACCCAGCCTACGGCATCCAGAGCTGTGTAACGTGGGAGTCTGGCAGAATAATAGTGGAAAGTCCTTTCATTCCGCTGCCTGTCTCCATTCTCTCCTCTTTGCGAGCTGTAGGATCAGGGGACACAGGACAATTATGTCCATCCTGCAATGTGCTGATTGGGAACAAGGGCCTAATACACACCTGCACATACTGGACTTCTGAAATTGTCCTTTTTCTGACAATATATGCATTTGACCACCCTTAAGAATAACAGAATTAATGTACTTAAATCATGAATAAGGTGGTTATTGGAAACACTGTACATTTGATGAAAATGCAAGGAAGGCAATGCTGTGTGATTCATACGATGCGATTCAGATGCAGTTTGTTGATTTTAAATATATACACATTACTATAAATTGTAATTATTATTAAACCGAAGAAGCTGGTAAGGATTGATTGTTGATCTATTCCTATTTTTTTTTCTTGCACATCACAGCTGTATACTCATAGAACTGTCCCTTTAATGGAAAAACTGGTTAAGCAACAATAGGTAAAAGCAAGTGTTTTTTTTTTTGGCCCAAAAGTAATGCATGCTTGTGCAATCCACACAAACACTTACTGTATGATGATGAGTTCAAATAAAGCATTTTTTTTGCCAAAACTGCACAATGGCACCATTTGTTCTTGCATATATGCAGTACCTGCTTATTTTTACCTCTCGTGACGATGAACATAGTCAATTATTTTGTTTTCAATTAGTATGACACTCTCATAAACCACAGAATTATTTTTATACTTCACCTTCTTAAAATTCCAGGCTTGGATTACAGAATGCAGAAATCCTCTCTACAAGTGCTCCGAACAGAACGCAAGCCACTAATTTCACTTAATCTTCCACTGCTCATTAGATAGGCGGGCACAGTTATGATAAGACCAATCATCATGCAAGACCTTTACAGAACCCAAGCCATCTGGGAAGTCATTCTGAGAAGAAGGCACCACAGGCTTCAGGGTAGTTTTGGTGGAAATGATTTCTACCAAAGTAAATACAAAATTGAACAGAGAACCCGTGCCACTGCATATTTAAAGACCTCTGCTCCGTTCGTCAACCTGAAATAGATGATACAGGATTGTTCCAGTAGTCTCTCTTGCCTTCCCAAATAGATTGGTGTGTACCTGCTATCAAAGGGATGGAGGCCGGAGGACAGCAGCGAAGAGGAGTTGAGCACGTCATCTTCCACGTGGTGGCCCTGTGAGAGCCGCAGTGGGGTGCTCACGTGGCAGCGGTTCAAGACTGTGGAGGAGAACAACCACCAAATAGTCATGACCAGTAACACCCCTTTGAGCAGCCTGCTGGATCACCTGTTCACCACTCAGCACTCATGCTGCTCGTTAGCCCTTCGTGGTCACGCAGTTATATACGCAGGAGATACCCAGCTATCCGGAAAAATAAATATTATTACAAGAAAATCAGCAATTAAGAAGAGACCTTCTGGCTGCATTAGAAGTCTGAAGGGGTTAAGAATCACATGCTCCTTCCCTTGCCTTGCTGTATGCATCAGCACAAGTGGCTTCATGTCTGGACATGTGGCTAACTGTGTGCACTCTATGCAGCAATGCACTGTGCCTCCTTTGCATCTTCCAAGTCAGTATTGTTGGGCCCAATACAACATCAATCTGTATTTGCTGGGTGAAGAATTACAATCAATCAATATGATCTTTCAAACACGTTACTCGATTTTTTTTTCGAGCCGAACAAGTAAATTATACATTCAGTTTTCCTAATGGTTACTTGGAACTCTCAAAAAGTAGTTTCAATAAGCTTTTCATGCAAGACATCTTTCTTATAGTTGTCTCTTCTGCATAGCTCTATAGCTGATAAGTGAAAATCGCGAAAATAAGAAAAAAAATATTTGTATGCCTGACAATTAATCCCGTATATAGTACGTGAATGGTTCAACCAGACAAGACATTTTTTATCCATAGTCTTTTCCAGTACTCAAACCGGATATGGGCAGAATTGTTTTCAATGATTACGCAACCCAGTGCACTTTCTTGTTTTTATTTATATTAAAAAAACACAGAACTAAACTTTTCATCCTTTAAAGACACGATTAACGAAATAAACTTTTCTACAGGTACATACCTTACTCATAACCCACTGTCAATTTAGTTGCGCGAGTTTATTATGTAAACAAGTACGGTGGTTCCCAGTATATTATCATACTTCAAGCAAAGCTAAACGTTTAAGGTTTGAATTTCAATTTAAATGTGCAAGTTTATTTTGATTGTGCAGAATAGGTGTTTTGAAACTTGTCGTTAAAGATTTTGACATTTTCTAACCACGGATGTGTCATTCACTTACCTCTCCCAACTAAGCCATGGATCCTCCACATTACGTTTGTACTGCAAAAGGCAAATCCGTCAAAATAAGAGCAATGAATGTGGTATATACTTATATAGAAAATATTCGCAAAATTTAGTCCGGCTCCATTGCGATTACATCAGAGAGGAAACCCCCTACTTGCCGGTTTCACGAGCAATGTAACCTGAGGTAGTCACGAGATTTCCCCGGCTAGGAAGATGGAAGAAGCGTGCCACTGACTTCATTGTGGCTCAAATATGTATCAAACATCTGTCCTCAACTACTTAAAATGTGGAGCCAAAATGGCGAACCACGGTGCAGTTTCAAGAAAGCGAACCCTTAAGGGGGGGAAGGACCATAGAGCTTCTCCTTCTTTCACATTGGTCTTTCCCAAAAAAGATACTGTAATTTGTTGCAATAACTAACCACTGATTCCCTAGGGCTGGGAGAATCCAGAATAAAAAAAAGTGTGTTTTAGTTTGTTAAAAAATAACCTCCTGAATAATCTAACATATTGTAAGCATATTTGAATCGATATATACATGATTTATGAGCGTATTAGGCTGTATGTCAAGACCTACGTAACTACGTAGTCTCCGGTTTATTTAATACAGATGATAAATTTAAGGCACAATACGTAAATTTGCTTAATATGTGGTTTATTTTATTTGGCGCGCGTCCTGCTTAGAACGCTTGGGAAATTCGTTTAGAAATTTGAAATGCAACTCTTTCAATGAAAAACCGAGACATTATTAAAAAACAGATTTGACTATAAATATGTGCGCAGACAGACACCGTGTCTTGTGTAATCCTTTTCATATAAAACAAAAGGATGAAAGTAACACCAGCACCGAATTAACAGATGGTAATGTTGGTTCACAAACCGCAACAACATTAGTCAATTGTGTAGCTGTTAAGGAACATAACATTAAAGTATGAAAATATTTTTATGCTTAACTGTGAGACAGCTGACTTTGGCCGTTACACGCTTTTGATATCAGCTAATTATTATGAACTTGCACGGATTAAATATGTCGTCGTTCTTTGATACGCTTCGATACGCAGGCCATATATGAGGAGGATAAATGTAGTAAATGTGAAATGGTTTGTATCAGTTTATAGCAGAGGCAGTTGTGCTTGTTTTGCAGAACCTGATTTTCGAAGCAGAGACCTGCGTATCAAGACAACACTGAGGGAGTTGCTTATCTATGCAGTCTTTCTCATAAACCTCTGCATTTGTAAGTAACATGAGATTTCGGAGACTTAAAGGTTTTCAAAGTTTAGTCAAGCAGTGGGTGAATTTAAATCTTATGATTTTCTTACTTGTATGTGTTTAGGAACGGTGTGTGACACTAGCTGGTTTCTAAACACCCAGTATTATTTTTTTCTTTGCGGGATCCAAATGTAAAGAAACTTGGAATTTTTTGGATTGTTTTTTGGGGAAGGAAATTCAGAAACTGCTTGTATGATTTACCAGGTTAGTCTGGCATATGAAAAAGAAAACACTACACAGGAAATGGCTGGGATTCCAATACTGCAATGGAAGGACAAACATAAAACTGTATTTGCGGACACCATTGAGGAAGATATCCATTATGTGCATCAGAAAAGATAGTTTGCAATTTAGTAATAACAAGAAAACTACTTTTAATATAACAAATTTAGGTCTATCACAATAAAGTTACTGTACAACCCATTCCTGACAGCTGTATGTTTGAAATGACCTTTAAGCTTTTCTGTTTATTGCAGTAACATTTGGTCAGGTAAGCACAGATATGTATTTCCATACTAAAGTGATGTCCAGGCTGTTTTTGGAAAGTTTCATCTCAGGAGGAGATATAACTTTCAGATCTCTTAGGACTGTGGACGATATTTGGAAGGTAGGAATTTTGAACCTGTATAACTATTTACATATATTTTCATATTTACCTGTGCTGGATTTTGCAGGCAGTTTAGGAGTTCACACCTTGTTTCTGGCACCGCCATCTGTGTTTTTAGTGAACATTGGTGAGAAACCAAAACTACTGCTGCCAGATACCTCCTTTTATTTCTTGAGCCACTTTCTTTCTGTATGTCCAGTTTCAGCCTCCACAGACAGAACTACATGCCTAATTGCACTTCAATATGTCATGTAGTTTCAGCTTGTCTACCCAAAAAACATTATAAAGGAAATGAAACAGTTTCAAAACCCCATGTATTTCTGGTTTTGTTAAGAGTAGTGTGTATTTATCAGTAGAGAATATATAGAAAGATTTTTTTACATTGCTAATGTGTTTTAATTTAGTTAGATTACTAATGCTTTTATCATATTAGTAACTTTGTGGGTACTGATCATTGAATCCCAGGGAATCTGACAATTCCCCCTATGCCCTGCCTACATGTACCGGGCTTGAGCAGTGAGTGAAATAAAAGGTATTTCTGAATTTTATCTTAATTCCTTAATGTTTGCATGCATGTTTTATTTTTTAGTATTTGGAAGGACCTTTGCTGGAAAATCTTTACTGGAACGATAGATTCCCAAAGAAGAGCCTGGATGAAAATGAAAGCTTTATCTATTTCGAAAACGTATTGTTAGGTGTTCCAAGAATCAGACAAGTTAAAGTGACTAACACGTCCTGTTCTGTGCATGGGTCATTTGCTTTTGAAATGGAATGTTACGATGCATATTTAACACTTAAAGAAGATACTGCATCTTTTGGGCCAATGAATAGCACGGCGTGAGTTTTGTTTTCCCCACCCAATGCTAGAACCATGTCTGTACGGTATATGGCATGGTTCTAAGTTCAGTAGTCATATTAAACACTGTCTCCGTATTGTAATTGAGTTTAGAAATGGAATACAATTGTTTATTTTAAAATTACTGAGGTCATGATCAGACACCTGTCTTTGTAATCCAACTGAAAACTTAATGCTTACTGTTACAATGTCAGTATTTATTATCCAAAGAATCATTCCTTTTAAATGATTAATAGTACAATTCTAAAGGCTTTTGCCTGTTACTGATGTTAATGAAACTGTTGAAAATGTTGCAGTTGTATAGGAGTGTTGATAGACCAGTAGGTGCCACTCTTGCCTTAGGTCCAGAAAAAGCAGAGCCCCAGTATGGTGACTATGATGCTGCTGTATTTAAAGGGGATCTGCAGCACTATTTGTATATTTCAGTGTTAGACTGAATCAACATTGATAGTGCATTTCAATCCACAGTGAAAGTAAAATGTACAGATTAACAATAAAACCTCCAATTTCCATCACAAAATAGATTACATTTCCAGGTAAGCGCAGCGCAACATTGCCACCATTGTCTGTGATTTGGAATGAGGCAACAAAATGTCTGGTGAGATGAAGAAGCCCTTTCACGTTTTAAACAAGCAGTCTTGTGAATACATCTCTTTTAATCCAACAGAAGTATTGCTCTCGACTTTGAGACGGTTTTACCAACAAAGTCTACTTACTTCTTAACTCTGCATGTAGATCACATATGAACATTTCTGTGGTAAAATGTCTACTGCACAGCCTGTACTTATTTGCTTGTACATCACATTACATTAATCATTACAGTGACTAGTGAGCAGGAAGGGTCAGTTTAAGTCACAAATTTTGCATACTCTCACTCTTAGCTGTGGTGAGACCAGCAGTTTGCGATAACATGGTGATCATACAGTACTTTCACAAGTTCACGATTTTGTGCTTAATTCAGAGTTTGTAAAATTTTTTGAGATACCATCAATTAATTTATTGTGTTACTGAGATTTCATTCCCAGTCTGAGAAACTGGGACTGCAGTTACCCTTTAATGCTGTCCTTTAAGTGTAATGTTAATTCAAGATCCTGAGTGCTTAGACATTAGACATCCCATGGCGTTGTTCGAAAGAGTAGGGGTGTTAACATTAGTGTTCTGGCAAAAAGTCCACTGTGGGCTTTGGAAATCAGGCCTCCCGAAAGTTCTCCCTAAATTAAATGGGAAAAACAAATTTGCACTTCACACATGTGAGTTTCCAGCAAATTCTTGTAAAGCACTTCAGGATTTTAATGAATTCAATTAAGTATTTTTTCTTTTTGTTGTTATTAGCATTTGCCAATGCTGTGGATAAAATATGATCTCTGTAGGTTTGAACTCTCAGCAAAAACTATGCTGTTCATAGAACACTCAACACCAAAAGTGTTGCTCCTTAGGTGATGTTGAATAATCACAGTAATTTTTATCTTTTATATTTCCTTCTGTTAAAACCCAATTTAGCTGGATCTACTCTCCTCCAAGCTCTGTCGTGGACATCCACTGGGGTTGGGTGTCTACATACAGTGGAGGAGGATTTTACTTGGACCTTGAGAAAGCAAAGGAGAAGAATGCAGACAAGATCAGAACTCTCAGGAGCAACCGGTGGCTGACAAGAGGCAGCAGGGCTGTCTTTATAGACTTCTCTGTATACAACAGCAACATTAACCTCTTCTGTGTGGTCAGGTATATGTGAACAAAGCTTCCAGTACCTTTTGTGTTCAACAGGGATTGCAAAGTGACTTTAAAATGTCATCATTATGAGTCTCCTCATTGGTATTTTATTCCACATTCAGGACACATTCTGATTACATGAAAGTATATGTATTCATTGCCACCATCAGCTGTTTAAACATGTAGATTTAATAATGTAGTTGACCCTTTAGAGGAAAGCAGATTGCAGTGTTTTCACCGAACACCACAGATGCGTTTGTAGCAAAAGTTCAAGCAGTAGCCTGGGGGACAATATGTGATAGTAGCCTTTTGTCTTCAGTAATGCTAAAAAAAACCTTTTCCTTTTATCTCCTACCAGAGCTTAGTGTTGTGAGAACTAGTATTTGTCAAACTGTCTTACAGTAACTCTTATTTGTTAAACGCGGTAGAACAGACTATGTATTGCCCAGACTTTGTTCCGAATGGGAAAAGCATTTGTGCAGTACAGGGGTATTGATGTACCTATTATTGTAAGCAGTTGTAAGTGTTGTAAGCTGTAATGTCTTGCTTGTTTTCTAGGTTAGTGGCAGAGCTTCCCGCCACTGGAGGTGTCTTAACGTCTTGGCAGTTTTACTCTGTTAAGCTCTTGCGCTATGTCTCCAGTGTGGATTACGTCCTTGCGTTATGCGAGGTAGTTTTCTGCCTTTTCATTATTGCTTTCGGATTCCAAGAATGTGTGGAACTTTATCAGAAGAGATGTTCTTACTTCATTGAATTTTGGAATTGCTTAGAATTGATATTAATTGTGGTAAGTAAGATAAACTGTTTTGATTATGACTAACTTGTCAAATTGTTTCTCTACAAAATAGTTTTAAATCTGATTCAGAGGAAACATGAAAGGTTTGGAAGAATAACAATCTAGTTAGTTTTAGCACTAGAAGTGAGAGATTAACTCTTTGCATCTGGTCTCCATTGCTTCTATACCACGAGAAATCTTAAGAAGACGCTCTGTAGTCTTGTTATGTTGATTCAAGACTTACAGACAGATTCAAGATAGACAATGTCATTTTACAATCTTTGATAAAATTGGGAAAATTCTTAAACTGTATGAATTAAAAATGCTGTGCTACTCGAATGTATGTTTTTTTCTAAACACTAGGGGACAGTCAAGATAATTTTGCATTCACTTTAGAGCCCCTTTTTCAAGTTGTTATTGTTTCAGATATATCGTAATGCCTGTTCGTCTTTTCCTGTTCGATAGATGTCTGTTGTAGCAATCTCTTTCAATGTTTACCGTACTTCTGAGGTGCATACCTTGCTTGAGAGCCTACAGGAGAATCCACAGAAGTATCCTGATTTTCACTTTCTAGCTTTCTGGCAGACTCAATACAATAACATGATTGCTGTCAATGTGTTCATTTGCTGGGTAAAGGTTAGTATGGTACTTCCTTAAAGATTTTTTATAGTTTCTCTCCTTCTTGTGTTAACGACACAGTAAATAAGAAACCATATCAGTTTCTATTGCTTTTTAAAAGTGATTTTTCACTGATTCCAGTTTAAATCATTACAACATATTTTTCAAATACCCCCAGTTACTTCTACTTTTGAATAATCGATTTTGATGTCAGGATTAGATAACTGAATGCTGTTTATTGTTGCAGATGTTTATTACTAAAGCTGTCTTTTTGTTGTTTCAGGTATTCAAATATATAAACTTCAACAAGACAATGAATACACTGACCTCTACTTTGTCCCACTGCGCTAAAGATGTTATTGGATTTGCAGTTATGTTTTTCATCATTTTCTTTGCTTATGCTCAGCTAGCATATCTCCTCTTTGGTTCCCAAGTGGAGAATTTTTCAACTTTTAAAAACTGTGTGTAGGTACAAAAAATACTTTCCTTTACCTCCTTGCTTCCCGTACTCTGTATTAAATACTTGCTTTATGGTCTGTTTCCTCTAATCAGCTTATTAGTACACAGTTTTCAAGAGGACAGCAGCACAACAGAGGTGCTGTGTGTGCAACTATATAACCCCATAAGAGCATTTTGTGGCACATAATGTTCCTTTAATTTTCTATAATTATCTAATTACATTCACAAAAATCATAGTTACAAATAAGCAAGTCTTTTTTTATAATGCCTATTAACAGAATGAATATTAGTTTGAAGAATTTATAAAAAAAAACCCTGCTTTGTCCTTAAAATGAGGTTCTTTGGGTCTTTTTTTCCAGGTTTACCCAGTTTCGAATAATCCTTGGAGACATTAACTTCAATGAGATTGAGCACTCAAACCGGATTCTTGGGCCAATTTATTTTACCACTTTCGTGTTTTTTGTATTTTTTATACTTTTGGTATTTAGTTTAATTAAATTTAACATTTTGTTATGTGTAAAATGTAAATCTATAGTAGTTAGGTACTTGATAAAACTTGACTTTTAACACAAATGTAGTTTTAGTTTAGATTACAAGTCATACTGTCCCTCCCTAATATACTGTAGAAAAAATGTTTTTTTTCGTATTTTAGACAAGAGTAATGGAATCCCATGTGTTTATAATACATATTTAATGTTTCTTAGTTTAATATTACAGAAATGTATTCCTTGTATGTTTAGTGCACATGAACTGAAAAATAACCCTTATGACATCCAAATTAGATCGAGTCTAACATTTCTTTCTTCATTCTAGAACATGTTTTTAGCCATTATCAATGACACATATTCTGAAGTAAAATTAGACCAGTCCATCCAGAATGCAGAGTTTGAAGTTACTGATTTTATCAAGAAGGTATGCGGTTTTGTACAAAACATTTCCTTTCAGTCATTGAATATTTGCTTGACTAATGTCCCTGCTGTAATTACATTAATTAGTGTGTGCATTAAAGCTGTTTCAGAATTGGATAAGAAATATACACACCATTTTTTAAAGAAGAAAGACTTTCTTAATATTAGACAAGCAATGCTTTTTTTTATTTATTTTTTTAGATTGTTTCCCTTCCCCTTACAAAATTCTTTCTTTATAATAAAACATAGTGAATGGTATTGAAATATTAATTATTTGAAAAATGAACTGAATTTTAAAAGGATCAAATGTTATCACATTTCAGGCCTGTGGTAAAGCCCTTGTTAAACTGAACTTCAGGAAGAAGCTGCAGGGGAGGACCACTGACTGTAACCATGAAGCTGGAGAGGGAATCACCTTAAACACAGTCCAGATAGGTACAACAAAGTGAGCAAGATTCTCTTCTTGTGGAGATGGTTTTCTGTCCACTGTGTGGCATAACATTAGATGGATATAACTGAAAGTATTTTGAACCTGTGGCACATACTTTGGAGCAACACAGTGGTACAGTGGTTAGTGTTTAGAGGCCCTGTGTTCAATTCCTGGGGCGCTATCTTACGTTCTCTCCATGCTTGTGTGGGTTTCCTTCAGGTTCTTAGGTTTCCTCCCACAGACCAAAGACATACTGGTAGGTTAATTGGCTTCTGAGAAAATCGGCCCTGGTTTGAGTGTGTGTGTATGTTTGTCTGTGTGTGCCCGGTGATTAACTGGCGTCCACTCCACCTTGCACTTGTAGTATCTCTCTTTCCTAGCGTTAATCCCGCATCAGCAGGGTCTGCTTGTCGGCACACTAGTCTCCATTTGGTGGTTTGAACCAAATCTTTGAGCTGACATTGCCATTAACTGTGACTGAGAGTACTCCAACCGGCGCGTCGCATCGCCTGCCGTAGGAGTGGGGGGGGGGGGAGAACAAAAATCTCTCGGCGGCTGAGGTCCCTGCTGTTCACAGGGAAGGGCGGTGACGTCACCGCGCTAGCAACCGGCTTTCACAGCCTGTAATCTCGGCCGTGTCCGTTACAACACGTATATCTCTACGTGCGGACTTACGGTTTTAAGCAGTGGAAGTGACTGCACGTGTAACTGTTCGCAACGGAAACATCACTGCTTTGATCTCTAAATCCTACAAAACTGGTCCTCATGCCTGTAATGATTCTGTTCATATTTGCCAAAAATGGCAAGATTTCGTTTTGGCTAAACCCCAGTCGAGGTCTGTACAAATTCTGCAGCACTGGACATAATCATTAAACCGAAAGTGCCAGCCAAGTTCACCATAACTTCCACAAGTGTTCAGTGCACAACATAATAGGTTATACATACACTGACGTAAGCAATGCTATCTCATAATTATGAGATAATTCGTAATTACAAGATAAGGGGGTGAATTTTTTTCCCCCTTAGTGGCAGCAATGCGCTACTGTATTATACACCATACACATAATGTGCTGGGTTTTTAACTTTAGCAAGCTAAAGTCTTTATTGCTGGATTTTGTGTTTATGAATTTCGGAAACTGCATAGGTAACATTGCCTGCCTACACTTAAATGATGGAGAGAGAGAGATTTGTTACCCTCTTTCATTTACCACAAGAATTTCTTCTGTCCTAAAAATATTTATAGCCAAGTAGAAACTGAAGAACACTTCACAGCATTTGGTACAGAAAGCAATACAGATATTACAAGAGAGGAAAGAGAAGAAGAACAAATAATGGGATGGGACCTGGAGAGGCAGAAGGTATAAGCATGTCATCACTACTCTGAAATGAGCATGTATGAGGAAACTGGCTTTTTAATGAAGTATTGATGTTCTTGAGATAATAGTATATTGGCAGTGCATCTTTTTGCATTAAAGTTTGTGACATATATGAATATAACTGCTTATTATGCTGACAATGTTTAATATTTACACCTACACTCCGTTACAGATGAAATGGGGTCTTATAGTTGTTTTGGTATTTCTCCTGTCATTTCTGCTGGGGAGAAATGAGTTCTGTAACTGCAATGCCATTTCATTATTATTGTGGCCTAACCTGTCCTAATGTGATTTGTTTTGGTTTTTGGTATTCAGCAAAATCCAGGAATGGTTTTAAAGGTAATTCTGTTCAGAGCACAAGTGGAAATTCAGACCAGAATTGCAAGTATCAGATTCCAAAGTGTCGCTTGAAAAAACAAATTGGACTTTTCTTCTAATTCTGCGTTATGTTACAAACCATTTAATGCGCATATATAAGTGGTGAAACCAGGTTCACAGCACTCGAGTAAATTACATTAATAAAATTTCTAATCTTAACCAAAAAATTTTCATACAATATGGTAATTGAAAGTGCTTTAATATGCTTTGATTTCAAAGGATGCTTTGCCATTTTTAGTATGAAATGAGACGTCCCATGCTTTTTTTTCTGAATCAGTGTCTTACATCCTTTCTGTGCACAGGAAAGAGTACTGAACTCCACTCATCTTGACAAGGGAGAAGAGTTTATGTCTCTGTATGTTCCACGCCAGGAATATCAACAGTATGTTAATTATTCTGTTTCTTTTACTTATTACTCCTTATTCTGTGAGGTTCTGTGCTGACTACAGCATGTGGAAATAACACTCCTCAAAGAATAAAAAGATGTTCCATCTGCCAAATTAATTAACTATTTTTTCCTTTTAACAAATACTTTATTGATCTAAAATAAACAGATAGCCCTTTACAGTGGGATAAAACATTTTACGTTTTAGATTGAATTCATTTTGTAGTCACAGTCTTCATTATGAAGTCAGCTTTAGTCTAAAAGTTATAAAAAAGTAATTGATATCAATGTGGATGGAGTAAAACAAAAATTAATAGACATTGAAAATTAACATCAAAAATATATTTCTCAGATTATACTGAATTTCAGATTAAGTAAAAAACAAACAGCATTCCCTTGTTATTTCTTATGTAGGATGAAAACGTTTATTCAAGATTTGGTTGGAACAAGGGTGGCACAGTGGCTCTCACATCTTTGGGGCCCTGAGTTCAATTCCTGGGGTACTATCTGTATGGTGTTTTTCTGTGTTTGCATGGGTTTCCTGCTGGTGCTCTGGTTTCATCCCAGGGTCCAAAGATATACTGGTAGGTTAGTTGGCTTTTGGGAAAATTGACCCCGGTGTGAGTGTGTTTTTGTCCGTCTGCCCTGTGATGGGCTGGTGTCCCATCCAGGGTGTTCGCAACTCCTGGGAGTGGGAGCGGTGCTCAGCTAGAGCCGGGACAGGGAAAAGGCATGGATAGAAGCTAAGCGGTAGGGTTTGGAGGGACTTCCAGGGCAAATCCAGCTCCAACATCCACTTGCTCTGATTGGTTGATAAAGGACAATTATCCAATAAAGAAGGTTTTTGAATTGATTAGAGTGTAATGTATTGCTAGAATGTGTACTGATTGGGAGATGTTTTGTGTGAAATAAAGTTTATTTTGATAGGAAAGAAAATCCTGCCTTGCTGGGATAGGCTCTGGCTCCCCTGTGACCCTGTATTGAGATTAAGATCAAGATTTAAGATTTAAGAATGGATAAAGGAGTTAGAAAGTGAATGGATGGATAGATGTTGAAGATCAACAAATTACAATGCAAAATAATGCATGTTTAATCCACGTATGTTAACAGAGGGTTATGGGAGTATGGAATATTATTATTATTAAAGCTGATACCAGGGTGTCCTTCAGAAAATGACTGGCAGGTATCCTTGTCTTAATTAAAAGTACCTGTGGTACACTTAATAGAAGCCAATCAAACTTGATGGGTGGAGTGTCCTATTGTTTGTAACTTTTGTTTTTAATTAAAAGCTTGTATTGCATTTTTTTTCTGGAGGCTGGCTGAGCATGTCTCACTATTGCAGAAGAGAATCGATGCTTTGACTTTCATGAACAACAGGATCCTTGTAAGACTAAATTCTTTTGAAGGTATTAATAAGTTGGCAACTGAAGATAACTGGGATACAGTAAGTACTAAAACGTTAAGTGCTCAGTATTTAGTTCTTAGGTGTAAAACTTTTAACAAATTAAATATATACAGTAAAGTACAGTGAAATTACTACAAACTTAGATTTTCACGTACTCATTTCTTTATTAATATTACAGTATATAACATTATGTCAAATTGTTCCAGTCTCAATGTGTTTACTTAATTATTTATGATCTGCTTCTGAGCCACAGATTACAAATCTCATAGAACATTGTAGTCTCAAGTAAATCTTCATTTTGACAAAGCCTCTGTCTTGAGAAAACTGTTTATGTCTCTACTAATTCAGTTTTCTTTGCTATAATTTCATAGGATGTTGAAGATTGTTCTTGAAGAAGCACTTTCAGGGGAACTTTTAAGGAAGAGCTATTAAGCATACTCTATAAACATCTCATAGTGTAAACATTTTTTCCCTTGCACCAAAGATACTTTCAAATGTACCAACATGTACAACCAAAATGATATTAAACACCTTGTGCTTAATAAAATATGCAGTTTGAATATGAAAGAAGTAGTTTAAAATAGACGTTTCCAACCTGTTAATTTTACATTAACCTAACCTAATATTTTTGTTTCTTTTTAACTCAGAAGGGTTAGGGTTGTTTCTTTATTTCAGTTGTTTTCTGTTTGAGTATATACTGTTTGGTTTTAGGTAGTGTAAGCCTCATGAATTATCTTCTTTAGTTTGTCAAATTTATTGCATCTTTCCATTTTAGTACATACCTAAATTGGAGTTTTAGATGTGGATTTTCTAATTCCACCAGAATTACCCTGCTGTGAGGAACCCCCTAATTTAATTAACCCTCATTTGCATCTGCATCCCTACTATATGTCTGCTCTTCTGGTTCCACTTAAGTTCTTCTCGAACAGGTTTCATTTTATTCAAGAAAGACTCAATTCCCCATATACCTAAACACCAACCTTTTAGCCACATAAATCCCATTCCCATGTTTTTCTTGCATTGCTAGAATTCCTGAGAAGACTATTGTAGATGCTCTTCTCCTAAGCTAACAAGCAAAATTCTCAAGTCTCTCTTGCAGAATAGCCAGCCTAACTTTTCCTGCATGGACCATGACAACTTGATATACCTTGGCTCTGTCTGGCTCTTGATGAAGGTGGTCAGCAAGCTGTACAATACACTACATCAGGACCTTGTCACTTATGCACACTACACATAAGCTGTCAACACATCTGACAATTCTATTCCTCATTATGACTCTTGGGCAGCAAAGTGGCAGAGTGTGTAGCATTGCCCGGTGCCTGGGATTCAATTCATAGAGTGCTGTCTGCTTGGAGTTTGTATTCTCTCCCTGTGGTCACATGGGTTTCCTCCTGTAGTCCAAAGTTTAATGGGCTTTTGTGAAAATTAGTCCTGGAGTGAGTGTGTGTGTTTGTGCCTGTTTGTGCCCTGTGATGGATTGGTGTCTCGTGTCCAGGTTGTATCCTGCGTTTACCTGTTGCTTGCCAGGATAGGCTCCTGCTCCTCTGCAGCTTTGTACTGGATAAAACGGTATAGTAAATGAATGGAGAAAGTATCACTCTTTTGCAGGGGACACTGGGTTCCTGGGTACCCTGGGATGTCTCAGTCTAATGTTTTACTCCAGGGTGTTGCATATAAATAAAATCTGTGAAACGTCTTGAAAATTTACACCAAAGGGTAACTTTGATCTTTTTTTTTTTATTTTGATCTGGTAGTTTTGGATGTCAGGAAAGTATAGTAGTAGTCAAAAACAAAATGCTCATCTCCTTCATTTTGTTTCTAGGGAAATGTAAGCGTTCTGGCATTCTGGCCATGCACTAGGTTTAATTACGCGTCCATCTATTTTTTCGAATTGGTAGCCCTTCACAACTTAAAATGTTCTTTTCTCTGAGACAAACAATGATGAGTGTGGTGAAAGCAAACCAAGCTGGGATTTGCAATGGTGTTGACTTGAAAAGTCGGTCCATTCCTGAACTATGCAGTTTCTAGGCAATAGGATTTAGATGGCTATAAAATAGGAATTCCTCACTGGAAACACGTTTTTCTTTCAGTATTTTGATTTTTATTCTCAGCCAACCCCCCCCCCCCCCCCAAAAAAAATCCTATATTTCTGTTTTTCTCTTTGAGTGGGATATAGCCTTTCATAGAAAGTTAAATTAGAGAGTGCAATAAAGCTTGACCTTTGTCTTTTGCTTGATGTTAAGATAAGGAAAGTGACTGCAAACAATGGTGGTCACATTTGGATAGGTGTTGAATGTTCAATAAACCAATAAATGTTATTTACCAATTTTCTTTATAAAAATTATTTGTCTAGGCTAGTGTATTACATTTATCAGAAGTTAATCATAGACCCTTTTGTATATCAGGCTTATCAAGTTGTTCTATATTTATTTTTTAAGACAAATCATATTTCAATATTTAAGATGTTATTTTATCTGGAAAGGATACATGCTGTTAAGATTATTTTAACATTATAATTTAAAAAAGAAATGAACAAACTGAAAAACTAATAACAAATAACATTATACATATGCAATATTTCTATACTGTTAAGTGATACAGATTTTCATTAATGTTTTATCTTTTAAGTCTTAGAATGCAACAGAACATGTTATACCACATTTAATTAAGAGGTTAAAATGAAATACATTCCAAATTACACCAAAAACTGCTGAATAAAAAGCTACCATAGGAAATTAATGTAATGTCACCGGCAACCAAATAGTGACTGCACTATGGCTAAAATGAGCAAAAAGCATAACAAAAGAAAAATATAAAATATTGTTTTTCAGGTTCTTGTAGTAGTTTAGCTTTACTGCAGATGGTAAGAGAAATGGCATTTTCTTTGTTTTTAGTTAATGATTTTCTTACTGCCCTCTTGTTCGTAAACAAACAGGTTGCTAAGCAACACTTACAAGCACACTGCTGCCTCTGGTAAGAGGAGTCTGTCTTTTATCCTGTTTTAGTCCTCAACTTGCATTGTTTCTGGAGGTCATCCCTGAAAGCTTGGTTCGCTCAGTGCCCAGTGGAATTTCAAGCGCCTTTTCTATTTTTTTTAATTGAGAGAGTCACTGTTGGGGGGAGCAGAGTTGTTGACTGGGTTCTTTTTTTTACACTTTCTAGTACCCAGTTAATTTATTCTGTGTAATTAATGCTTGAAAATACTGTAGTAGTTGTTCTGTATAGTGTGCGACTATACTCTATGATTTTGTTTTACAACTGTATAAACCATGATGACCTGCCTGTCTCTACAGTGACCCATTCCTTATTGAGTTCCAGAAGAATCATTTGGCAAACAATAGGTTATTGTTTTAGTTTATTGCATCAGTTACAGTAGCCGGCAACACTTTCTTAACTTGTTACTTTACAAAAAACAAGATTTCTACACATAAATCAGTAAATAAAAATAAGTGCTCGATGCTAACAAAATAAACAGTACTGTCTGAGTGCCTGAATAAAGCATATGGATGTAATATTACACTGTTGCTTGAGAAGCTGTCCTGTGTAATTTACTCTTTCATACTGCAGATAAGTCTGACATTATTTCTATTTTATTTGCTAGCATAATAAGGAATTCCTTTTACTTAGTACTGTCATACTGAAACAAGAAAAAAAAGGTGACGCTTGGAAAATGCTGTTCTCTGGGTGAAAATAATTTAGTCACTGCAAACCTGGTTGCTGTTCCTCAGAGTGCAAGTTCCATTGCTATTATTTCTTCCCTGTGAAAACTGAATGGGAGCTTGAGCTCAAACTCACTGCATTAGAGTGAGTACTGAAAGCATTGTATCAAAAGAAAGCATTAATGAGGGACTTAGTCTGGGGATTCAAGCAAAAACAAGCTGCCTTAATTCAGGCATTGCTGGTGGAGGGAGACTAAGAATACAGAATAGACACAAGTAGTTTCATGTTTCCGAGCTGAGAAGTTACACACTGTGTGAAGAATGTAACTGAGTCAGAACTTTTTGATTTGTTTTATCAAAGCATTTTGCTGAAAGTATGGTTTTATTTTCCATTACATCTTCAGGGTTCTCACACTCTAATAGTTTTAATGTTCAAGCAATCAAATTTTAATAATTCCCATGCTTACAAAATGACCACTGATATTTGATTTTTCAAAGGAACCTTTTCCAAAGAGGTTTCCAATTCAAGGACATACATAATGCAGCACTTCTCGTTTGGTTTGAATTTCTCAAAACGACAGAATGCAATGAAGCTGAATGTGAGTAAAAATCTGTTTAGCCTTGCTTGCTGTTTTCTCTAAACAGGTTCAACGATTGTGTGACTGGCTCACACAATAAGCTCAGTCTTTGTTAGGTGCTGCTGAAACGAAGTAAATCTTTCTGATTTCTGTCGCAGTGTTTTCTATGAATTGCTTAATTAATGGGGAAGTTTCTGAGAAATTCCTCTGTTGGAACGGAACCTACCAAGCTCCGCAGCTTTATATTAAAACATCAAGTTCTCCTGTTTGTGGGGATCCTAACTGCATCCCCATGTACAGTATATACACAACAAAAATATACTGCTCTCTCTAAGTATTGTGTCTTAGGGAGCAAAAGCTGTAAGGGTAAGGCGAGAGGGAAAGGAGACCTCTGAGCCAAAAGATTTTTCTGTGGTCTCACCCCCTTTTCACACTCAACACGTCCCCTCACCCCAGCGAGTGAATAAGTGCGCTGCTGTTAAAAAGCCCCAATGTAAATGAGGCACAGGAGAGGCGGGGCTGGTGCTGCAGTTAGAGCTCCCGTGTAGATCAGGGAGCGATGGACCCTGTGGCTCATTCACCTCCTGTCTGTGGGCTCCGGGGACACACTAACCCTGCACTTCACTCATGATGGCCACGCCAGAGGAGAGTCAAGAAGTGACGCTTGGAACTCGCCAGGCAGCCCTAGGAGGCTCGCAGACTGACTTGGCATTGAGTTGCGCTAAGGAGGAAGGGGCCCACACTGATCCGGAAGATGGAGGTGGACCAGCCCCCAGTGACCCCGAATGGGTAGAGGAGAGATTCAGGATTGACAGAAAAAAACTGGAAACTATGTTGCATAGTAAGTGGTCTTTATTACAACTTGTAAAACTTTGGTTTGAAAGTGCCTGTATTTCTGTTGCCCGTAGAAAACTAAACATCACAACAACTGAGCACAGCCATTTATTTACTTTGACTTGAGCAATTGTGTATTATGAAACAGAATATATAATATATACAATAAATGTATGAAAATAAATTTGGACTACTTTTTGGGGTTTGGTGGGTCTGTGTACATGCTGCCATTTGCACTTGTTCACACAACCAGTTGAACGTTTCTGGCCTTCTGACAGATTATGAGGAAGAATACTTTATTATAATCATTAACTAACCCCACTAACTGGACTTTTTAAGGGTAGATATAAGTCTTCAGCTATCAGAAGCCTGTGATGTACCATGAATTGGGACTACATTATCACAGCTGCTAATAAACTTTTTCGCCTGCGAGATGAAAATGTTCATTTTCTGCCACCCTCTTTTTTTGAAGAAGTATTGGAATCCCTGTATTTTCTCTGCGCCCATGCTGTTTTCCCATTCCACAGCCAGGGGCTGCGTAACCTATAGCGATCATAACTAAAGAAAGAGAGAGAGGCCAAAAGAACTTGTAAATGTCAATGTAAATGAAGATGAGCTCATTGTAATAAGGTTACAATGCTACTGCCTTTATGTGAACCTTTGCAAAAATAGTATCTAACAGTATTCCAACGTTTTGTACAAGTATTATAGTTTCTCAGTGATAGGTCATCTCTCCACTTCACAAACATTGCCGGTTTCATTTTTTTTATTGCTTGAGCTTTGTAAACAGCATGATAACAAGGTTTAAACACAAAAGTTAACAAAAATGTCTAAAATCAAAATGCCTTTTATTCTAGTAGTAAAACTGTGTGATATTTTTAATGTGTGAAGAGAGAAAATATCCATATATTATTACACAACTCCAAAGATTATACTGTAGGTCTTGTTACTTTTAATAAGCTTTGCTCTAGGAAAGTGAAATATGTGACATTGAGAGTTCTGAAAGGAATTACATATTCAAAAGGATATACAATTTTCAAAATTAAGGTAATTAGATGTCTTGGAAATATTATTCATGGACTACATAAGGCTTCAATGACTAGAAATTAAAATGTAGAAAATGTAATGTACTTTTTACAACAATAGGTTGAACTTTATGTTCATGCAAACCGTTTACTGTAATATATTATTCTATTCTGTAATGTAATATATCCAATCTATTATTTTTTAATGGGATTCATAATGATAACTATGGAGTTCTGCTACACAAATGTTGTTAAGGAGGCAGTTTAAGATTAAGTTAATATATATATTCTTCATATTAATATATGTTAATATGTTAATATGAAGACCAATTATGTGCACCTGCTCTTTGGAATATCTCTACTTCCTTGGTTTTACCAGTTTATAAGGACTTCTCACTCAATCATACACATGCTAATAAGTTCCTTTAACTCCTCACAAGCATTTACAGCTGCCAGGAAAGGCAGGAACAGACATTCCGCTCTTTAACATGTGATCGAGAAAACGTTTCATCCTTCAGAAGTTGTAAAGATCTTAAATGTCCTTGCTTTGGTATTTAAAACAGGCAGGTCTGCTTTAAATACAATAAGGATTTGTGCTTTCATTTTGCAGCCCCTCATAATGAAAACATTGTGACCGGTGAAGAATTCTTTCAAAAAGTAAGTAGATTAAAAATCTGAATGATTGAAGAAAAAAATGTTGTCCCTCCTTTTTCACCAAATGACCAAACTATGGGTTTTTAAAAGTGATGATCAAATGTCAGGACTCCACATTGAATTATTATTTAAATTGTCTCTGTGAGCAGGATGCAATTTGTCTTCCAGTGTCTGTCAAACCTGTGGTGAAATTATTTTCACTTCTCCCTTGCAATGGTGTTCTCAGGTGATGGTGGAGACCAATACACAGATTAAATGGCCTTCCAAATTGAAGATTGGGGCAAAGTCAAAGAAAGGTAAAAGATCCACTAACATATTCATTAAAATTCTGATAGTTGATTTTGTTACAAGCACTTCTTTGTCTTGGGACAAGTACATTATTTGTATTTCTTTATTCATTGAAGTTTTCAATATTATGCCAATAACTCAAAATATCTATATTGTTTTATCTCTGCCAGATCCTCATGTTAAGGTAGAAGGGAAGAAATACAATGTCCTGGAGGCCAAGAAGAAGATATTAGAACTTTTGGAGACAAAGGTAATCCTGCTTTGAGAATTATCCTTTATTTTGAATTTAAAACCCATAAGGGGCAGGTATAACAGGGTGTGACTGTGTTTTAAAAGAACTATGTGTTCTGCTTTTGAAAAATCTAAGCACTACTTTTTCAGGAAAACTGCCAATTTACTTGACAGCTGGAACACATGTTGTACCCCTGGTATCAATGTGAAGTATCTGTTTCTCCAAAGAGGAAACTGACTTTGATTTGCTGAATTATATCTTGTCAATCTGATTTCACCATCTATGCAATGTCTGTTATTCAAATGCAGTACAAAAAGTGGCTATTAGATGATGAGATTGGAAGGTCATTTAGCCTCATAGTTTTTCCTTGTCCTGTTCAGTAGATGTTCGGAAACCAAAGATCAAAGTACACCATTCTTTGCATTGCTGTGACTGAGATTCTCATGGCTTTGCCTGTGTCCAGGTAAATAAAGCGACTCTGAAGATGGATGTGGCTTACACAGAGCATTCCCATGTGATAGGGAAAGGGGGCAGCAATATTAAAAAAGTCATGGAGGAGACAGGGTGTCACATACACTTCCCAGACTCCAACCGCAACAGTGTGAATGTGGAAAAGAGCAATCAGGTACCGCAAGAATGTTTCCAAAAATCTCTTTTTTCATATTATGTTCCAGATGACGTTGAGTACTTTCTTGATTACTTTGGTTTAGAAGTGTTTATGTAAATGATCCAATTTATTTATGCGAATAACCTGGCATTTGAGATTTAATTGGCAAGCAAACCCATTTGAGATACTGCACAGTGGCATGAAGGAAAAACAGAGAAACAGGAAAGTGATCCAGGCTTTCAAATATTCTTTTTATTTAGGTATTTCTTAAAAATATATGCTGAAATACGCTTTTTACTGTTGCTAATTATATAAAGGTCTAATACTTAAAGCCACATTGGAAGTGAGTTTAAAATACTATTTGCTTAAAAAGACTACAAATCATTCTTTTCTATGGAATACATTGTATTGTGTTTTAACTGTCTCCATTCTGCCTAGGTTTCAATTGCTGGGCCTGTGTCTGGTGTGGAATCTGCCAGGAGAAGAATAAGGGTAAATATTGTATTGCATATTTTATAAGCATCTTTTTTCAGTTTATTTATAGGGAAACTAAGACAAATATAGTAGATTACTGTTTTTTAATAGTATATTTATATAGCTTAATATTTTGCTAATAGTGGAATTAAATCTTCCTAGCAATGTTTCAGTAACTGTGTAGATGAATAATTGTTCAGGTAAGAGGAAAAAAAAAATCTTACGCAAACTTATTTTCCAGGAACTTCAGCCTCTGGTTCTGAGCTTTGACCTGCCTGTGGGCATGGTTCCTCAGACCGTACCTGATGTGAATTCTCCAGTGATTCAACACATAGTCCAGACCTTTAATGTCACCATCTCCTTTCGACAGCAGCCAAAGTTCTACAGCACTACCTGCACAGTGAGGGGCCTGCAGGGCAACTGCTGTTCTGTCAAGGTGAACCAGGCTATGTGGCTTGTTTCTCAGATGAGTTTCTTCTCCACTTTAGAATCTTTTCAATGTTTAGCACTTTATATAGTATTTCATTGAAATTAAATAAAAGTGTGCTACATATTTATTTTAATATCTGGAATATCTATTTTTATGAATTTATTAAGAAAACATTGCTGCTGTCTCATTCTGTCTCACCCTAGGTAATTGTGGATAGATAAGATTATATTGCCATGTTTGAAAGTGTAGGAGTGTATCTCCGGTGTCCTTCCTAAATTCCCAGATCAAATTTATTTTCATGAGTTCACAATCAGACCCAGTATTTACTCAGAAATGGATAATATGTTACAATATGGCAATGCTCTTCAGTGGTAGTTGTATAATTCTTTCTGGTCTGTGAAGTGCTGTGGGGTGAAACCCATTATAGGTACTGTAATCGTGGTAAAAACACACTCTGACCCTCGAAAACTTCAATCTCCTGACAGAAGGCAACGTGTGTGTTGATTGAGCTGCTGATTGGCGCTGATGTCAGCGTCACTGTGAGTACACAGCTCGACATCACCTCCCAGCAGCACCTGTTCTTAATCGGCCAGAACGGCGCCAACTTCATCAATATTATGCACATGACCCAGACTCAGATTGTCCTTCCTGAGTTGAACGCTCCTCAGAGCCGATCCATGCTGTTGATACAGGGAACCACAGATTCTGTTTGTCTGGCCAAACAGCAGCTTCTGGTGAGTACCCAGGTTAATATATTGGTTCGTTTGACTTAAGAGCATTAGTTGATTCATTGGATTATTAATAATGGATATTGTTTAATAATGGTAGTGATGTAAAAGAGTCCATCTTACAGGGTAATACTTTCAGAAAACCCAGGAATTAATAGTAGCCTGGGGGTTCTCGATTAGCTTAAACTCCTGAGTGTGGAATGAGTTCTATGATCATGGGTTTAAGCCTGTGACATGTCACAGGTATTGCCCAAGAGGCGATGCATGATTGGTAGAGGTTAGAGTGAGATTATTCGTCCAGGACTCTCTCAGCTCTCACACAAACGATAACCCCTGTGGCCTCCCGAGGGCTTGCAGGCAATTGTCTCTGCATCTGTGGTACTGGGCTGCACAGCATGTGATCCTGAAGTGTGATCCTGCCTACAAATCTTAATTTTCCCTTGTGTGTGGTGTAAGGATTCAGAGTTGGGAATATCAGGATATTATAACAAAATTAATAGGCTATTCTAAATCTTAAAAAAAACCCAAGCACATTCTTTATTAAGAACATGTTAATTTCAAAATTATTATTAGAAAACACAAAAGTCTTAAATTATTCTTTAGCTTATCAATACAATTCATAAAAATCTTTTAAGCAATCTAAATGTATGCAGCTGGCATTACATAATATTTATAGTAAGTATAAGCTGTCACACCTACTTCTTTTTTGCCTGGGTTGTTGGGTGCCTTATGTGCTTATTATTTAACATTTTTAGTAAGCAATTCAGTGTTTTTAGGTTGAGAGATTATCACAGTTTGTTCACCACAATACCTGCTGTGTTAAACAGTATTTTGCATGGCACAGATGTGGCTGAAACATTGTGAGACACTGTGTTTGCTACTGATCTGTATACTGCTAACTGAAATTAGAAGTGTTGAGTTGATTTCAATAGGATCTTCTGCACTATCACTCACTGCTTTCACTGTGTGTTTTGTTTCTGACATGGCTAGACTCTCCTTTTTCTTATGTCTTCACTAATCAATGATGCTCAGCTCTTGTCAAAGGGATGCTCAGCCTGTCGATGGGACTGATTACACTGCCCTCATATGAAAAGCCTTCTTTACAAATGAATCAGAAAACTTTTCCTTTACCTGCAAGCTTTTCATCAGCATCTAACGTGATCCCAAAACTGCAGCTGGCTTGTAACTCTCCAATTTGTCTTCAAATTATGTATAATGTTTTCTATGATTTTATTTGACTGTGTTGGCTAGTTTGGAGCTTTTGAACCTGTAGTATTCAAATATGATTTAAAAATGTGTAATTATTGGGGAAAAAAAAACCTCAATCAAATTGTTAGGTGATTAATTGGCATAATAGTTCTCGTAATTGTAACTACTAATAACCATTCCTCTTGGTCTGCAGGACTGTCTGCCAATTTGCTTGATGTTTGACATGAAAGAAGATGGAGATGTGGATCCTTCCAAGCTCAGCCAAATGATGCAGAACCTTGGGGTTTTCATTAGCGTCAAGCCAAAAGTGAAGCAGACAACCAAGGTTTCCTGACTCTTCCTCCTTTCCTATATCACTGCCATGCTAAACATTCTGATTCCTTCAATTAGATATGATTAAGTCTATATCCATCCATTGGAAACTTTTGAATGCTGGTTCACTCAAACTTTGAAATTTACAGAGAGAGACCTAAAAAATTATTAGTGTTTCTCTTCAAACTAAGAAAATGTGTTTGTTCTTTTAACTTTAGGCTAGTTAAAGGCTTATCCACCCATGGTTTGACTGTAAGAAATTAAAATGTGTGGAAAATGTTTGTGTATGTTTTCTGTTTTAATAGTACCACTATTTTAATTCTTCTTGTTTTCCAATTCCTAGTCAGTTGTAGTGAAGACTTTGGAAAGGAATGTATTAAACTTGTATGAAGTAAGAAGATTGCTGTTGGGTCTAGAAACCATCGAGGTTCCTGTAGCAGTAAAGCCTACCTGCGATATTCCCTTAACCAATGGTCTAACTAATTACTGGCTCAATCTGATTATGCAACAGCTAGGTCTTGCAGATACAGGTAAGGTTTGCAATCTGAATCTGAATCTAATACATTATGACCCTCTTTTCCTATTTAGAATGCTTTTTCATATAGTATTCTCTTGTATTATGCAAGTTGACCCTGCTCTGTGAGTGGAATTTGGATTTTCTGCTTTTATGTTTTTTCTGTAAATTAGTTTGTTGAACATAAAAGAAACTATGAACTTGAGAAGTACTGTTCATGATTACAACATATTATGCAGGGATCAGAAGAAAATATGACTGATCTCCTTTTCATATAAGACACAAGAGGGTAGTTACAGGAAAGATCAAAGGTATTTAAAAAATATCCACTGCTTGCACTTCATGTTTAAAGAAGCTAAATGTGCTCATTACATTTTATTTTAATACCAACAAATTATATTTTGATTAATGTAACATTTACATTTGAAATAAGCATAGTGATTAAAAATTGCAACACTGAGAGAACATTGATTTCAAACAGCAGCAGCAAGTGTTAGAGTACAGACAAATAGAAATGTTGAACATATTATGTGTCCTATAACTGTCAAGCAGGTCATAGATGATGTCAGCTTCATGAAAATAACCCAGGAGAAATTACCTATAAAAGATGTTTAGTATAGGTTTTCTGTTTTTACCAGGAGCTTTCCCAACTCCAGAGGCAGTGGTCAGTGCCCTTTTGCAGGTGAAAACTAGACTTTCCCCACCTCCGGGTCTCTCTCTGCTGCATGAAGAGGGCAAAGGATCATTGAAGAGGAATGAAACTGAATGCTTGGAAAAAGTAAGATTATTAAGGAATGGCTTATTTAATTTTCTTTTCACATATTCACTTTCTTGTCCATCAACTGATCGCATCAGTGACATTATTTTGAGAGCTACCTTTGCCCTCAGGTTTGCTCGGAAACAAATATTTGTAAAACAAAGCCATTGTTAATTTGCTTCCTTTATTTCTTCCTCAGGCTTCTGAGACTAAGCATCTGCAGAGCTCTTCTGTGACTGAGCAACCAAATAATGATAATTCAGAACCAAAAGAACAAGTAGAGGGTTCAAGCTCAACAAACCTTCAAATTAGGAGTAAACTGGGTGGAAGCAGGACAACCTCACATGAGTCTGCCGGATCCCAGAACCTGTACAAATTGTAAGTGTTCTTCATTGATATTTTCAAGCCTGTCCTGCAGTGTAATAACTTGCGTTGAGAGATAATGAACCTTATTTTTAAAGAAATGACAAATGTTCAGACACTGACTGACTTGTGCTGTCCTCAAGGAAAAACCTTAAAATGCTGCAATCAGATATAGACTGTGCGCCATTTCATTTCTGTAGATTGCAACCCTGACCTCAACTGCTTTTAGATTGTCGGGCTTTCCATGAACAGGAGCCCACAGTGGTGTCAGATTGTTTTTTTGTGCGCTAGAGATCATTGTCTTCAAATATTCTTAAAGGGGAAATGCACCTCTATTTTTATATTTTGGGGTTAGAAAGAACCAGCGTTGATGAGTGCATTTCAAATCACAGTAAAAGTAAAATCTACAAAGTAACTTGTAAACTTTACGGCACAAAATAAGCTAAATGTCCCGGCATGCGCAGTGCCAAATTCTGCAATTCAGAACAAGTCAACAAAATGTCTGGTGATGTGAAGCAGCCCTATTACAATGTAAACAAGCCAGCTTGTGAAAACATCTCTTTTAATCCAAAAGAAATATTGCTCTCGGCATCTATATAGATTTGCCGATAAATACTACTTGTTAACTCTCCATGGAGATCACATTGGAACATTTCTGTGGTGAAATGTCTGCTGTACAACCTGTACTCATTTGCTTGTGCATCACATTAGATTAGTCATTACAGTGACTAGTGAGCAGGAAGGTTGGTTTAAGTCACAATTCTTGCGAACTCTCTCTCGTCCATGGCAAGACAAGAAGTTTGCGACAACATGGTCATCATGCAGTACTTTCACAAAGTTCACGATTTTCTGCTTAATTCGTGAAATGTCTCATGCACAGCCTGTCCTTATTTGCTCGTATATCACTTTACATTAGTGATTATAGTGACTAGGGAGCAGGAAGAGCAGCTTCATGTCACTCTTCTCGAAAACTCGCCTGTTGCGAGACTAGGGGTTTGTGACAACATGGCAACCATAGAGCACTTTCACAAAGTTCACAATTTTGTGCTTAATTCGATAAGTTTATTTTGTTACCAAGATTTAATAACCGTTCTGAGAAATTGGGACTACAGTTCCCCTTTAATGTGAAAGTGTTGCAATGAAAACAGGACATATTTTAGTTCTTGTACCTTGTGTTCAGTTCATTTCACATTGTTCACAATCATTTGTCTAAGACACTAAATACAAAGTAATCATTTCTGCTGTTTCTTTCAGATTGTTAAAAAGTGATGAGGACAGTGATGCAGATACAGTGAACAATGTTAAGACAGACACCATGCAAACTACAGAGTCAGGCACTGCCTCCATGAAGACTGAGGTATAGAAAATTAAAAAAAAAAGAAATTCGAATTTTGTAAAATGAGAAATAAAGCAAAGGTTCAATTTACATCTGTTTAATTCAACTCATGTCAGTTGGGATGTTCTGTTCATGTTCTGACCGGGACCAAACAGGGATCGAATCTCAGGCATTTGTAGGTTTTCTCCCTAACCCAGGAAAACCCAAAAATATTTTGTATTTTCCATTTCACCCAAGGTTTGTATGAGTGTATTATCTGAAGTTCCCTTTTCTGTATGGACATATCATACATAAATGCCTGCTGTTTGCTTCATAGTTTAATTAGAATTAATCTGTAGTGATTAAAACGCATATTAAAATTAAAAATAACTCTTGCACCAGTTTAATTAAAGGGATGAAAGTTGCATTTATTAATGGCAAAAAGAAACCAATTTAGTATAAATGAGCGCTCATAGATCATTTATGGATACAATTAAAGCATTATAGATTAACACTGAGTAATATTGATGCATGATGGCTACTGGCTCATTTGTCATGTATAGACATTAATTTGCAACTTTAAATGAATGTTGCATTAAAGGTGTTTCACTGAAACTTCAGACAGAAATATATTGAATGTTAAATATAAGTTCTTCAGTTAAGTGCATGTGAAACAAGTACATAGGTTCCAAAAACCTAATACCTTGTGAGCTAAGTGTGTAAGAAACAAAAAGTTTTTAGTGCTAAAATTAAAGTGACCTCTGTGCAGAAATTCACGAACACTGTACCTTTTGCCCACATCTGACTGGTAATTTCAGAAGTTACAAACAGGCCAGTCAAGTGGAACACAAGAATGGAATTGACATGTAGTTTCAAGAATTGCCTTGCTGATACAGTGACCTTGGTGGTAGCAAATTCTAACACAGGTTTGTGATTGTGTCTCTGCTCATCTTCCTGTGTCAAAGGACACAAAGCAAATTACATATGTAACTTTTGTTCAGCAATTGGTTGGTCTGTCTGTACAGTTAACCAACTCAGTCAACATAAATCATTAAAAAATTTCAGACAATTTATCTTCATGTGCTGGTTTACTATATGCCCTTTTCATTGTTTCAGGAATACGACTATGAAAAGAAGAAACTCTTAGCAACAAGAGGTAAGATGCAAACTTTGCAAAAGGATTCTTAATATGCTCAATTGGGAGTTTATTTGTGGATGCCAAATATGACAGTTTTATGCAAATAATTTATTTTCCATATTCTATTGTTTTTATAACTGTTTTGTATGATTAATTTTCCATAAGATTAAAGCACTCTTTAATTAAAATATCTGTTACTGGTACATTAATCTCTATAGCAGAGCTGTAATTAAAAGTTAATCTTATTAAATAAATACATTTCTAACTTGCAGAGGCCTTTTAGCATTATGCTTGCAGTTAATCAGCAGTAATATGAATAAATAATGCTAGTAGTTCAACAGTCTTTACTTCAAACCTGAATCAAACCTTTTGTTTCATTCACTTGATAAAGTACTTGTTCTCAGTGAATAGCATAAACATCCAGATACGAAGAGCTTATCAGTCTTTTGTAATTAAAAATATACAGTACTTACAATATTCTTCTGAATATTACTGTTAATGATTTTTTCCAAATAAGATGTTTGAATCTGCAATTGACCTGTTCAGGTTGATTTGAGGTCGCACAGCCCATATTTAGTTGCTCCTGCTTCTGTGATTTTGTGTTTCAGCAATGCAGAAGAAGCCAGTAGTGACAGAAGTACGAACTCCCACAGATACCTGGAGTGGCTTGGGCTTCTCAAAGTCCATGCCTGCAGAGGCAGCAAAGGAGCTCCGCTGTGTCAGTCGGCGCAACTACAGGTCATACCTAGATAACAGCAGTACCCAGGTATCCTCTTCCACTCATAACGTGAATAGCAAGACCATCTGCTCTACGCGAAAAACAAATTGTGAACCAAGTTCCTGTTTCCTTTTGGACATAAAGGTGAAAAAAACATCTCGGCTTGCGGCTCTAAATAAAAATTCAAAACATCAGCAGACACTTACAGCAACAGATGTCTTTCTCTTTGCTCAGTGCATGTTTGGCTGTTGAACTGCTCAGGTGTCGTTAATTTGACTCGTGAATGGAAAGGCAGTGTAGGTGGAATAAGCTGAATGCGTAGCACTTTGGGGTAAGTGGTAAGGCTTCACATCCAATTACTTATTAGATTGCAATTTACATGCTGACCATCTGTCATGCAGCAAATGTGTGATAGGTTTCACAGTAATTTGTGTGAATGATAGTGGTGAACATTTAGTGCTATGAATAGTCTCAGTGACAGGTTGCTTTAAGTCTATTGCTCTAATACATTTGGAAACTCTGTTTTGAGTGAAATATTTCTTTTAATTTAAGAAGAAAATTCTTGTCCAAATGTATTGCTTCCTAAGTTATCTTGTATAGAGTTTAGGAAGTAATGTAATGCTTTTTACTTTCAGTTGTTTCCTACCCACTTAACTCCTTAAATGTAAAATAATTAAAAATAGGAATGAACAGTTCAACAGAAGCACAGTTTTGACTGCTTATTTATTAAACATATTTTATACATTTAAAATAAATGTTTTAATCATTTTATTTATTACCCAAAGTAGTTGTTTTTCCTCTGTTATTGTTTTAGTTCCAGAACATATACTTTTTGTTGTGGAATATAAGTATAAGGGATTATAAATACTCCAAATATATTCAAGGGTTGTGTATGAAGACAATCATGTTTATCATACCCTGCTTTCTCATGGGTGAGGATATATGAGGGGCCTGTATCATGAAAGAACTGTATAAGAGGTGTTTTGGAAGAAAAAAGAGTCTCTCTGGTGCTCTATCACCTTTTGACATTAGGATTGTAGCTTTCAAACTCCCACGTAGGCTTGTTGACAGTTCCTTGGATCCATTCAGGCACATACAGAGAAAAAAACCCATGTGGCTGGAAACAAATTGCTTTAAATCTGCAGGTGAAAGGACACATTCAGCTCTGCCATTATTATGTGTTACTGGAACATGCATCCTCAGGCAGAGAAAGATGCCGAAAGGAGTTTCCCAAAGTAACCCTATGTTTTGTCTTTGTTTTCACCCTCCATCTTCAAGACATGGAGCTTGCACAATTCCCTCAGTAAAGACAAGCTCACCAGCGGAAGTAACTCTGAAAACTGGCGGGAAAGGAGAGAACCTGCACCTTCATCACCACCGCCTTCCTCCTCTTCATCTTCATCTTCATCGGTGTCCTCCTTCCCTGCCTTTGTGTCCTCGTTGACGAGAAGCAGGGCAGACAAATTTTGTAGGGGTTTCACGCAACAGTGCTATATTGCTGCTGTTTTATTTTGTTGTGTTTCACATGATTGCGTCTGAAAGAATCCTTCTGGATCTTTTCTCTTATGAAATACATTACATTGTAAATTGTTTAACCTTGGTCTGAGGTTTAAAGATTAAAGAAACTCCGAAAACTTATTTTCCAACCATTATATGGGAAATTACTAATAATAAAAGTAAATAATATTCTAGTACATTTTGCAATAAACCAACACTAACCCAGTGAACCTGAAATGTTTTCATTACATGTCAGACACTAATTCCCTCTTCTTCTTTCCAACTGAAGCCTTCCTTAGCTGCAGTAATTACTTTGAGAGTGTCTCATCGCTGAGCAGGCCAAGCAGTAGTACACCCACTCCAACCCCTCAGCATACTACAGATCTGCCAGAGCTCTTCAGTCAGCTAGGCCTGGGGAAATACATCGACATCTTCCAACAACAGGAGGTACAGCTCTCCTCCCTAAAGCTCCATGCAGTGATTATTTGATTATTCAGTTTGGATTTATTAGGAGGTGTAAAAAAGTACCAACTAGAGAATGTGTGTGTGTTGGTATTCTTGTGTGTTAAATTAAAAAACAAATGTACCAGTAAGGCGATCAATCTAGAATTAATTATAAAAAGGTGTGTGTTTTGCTTAATACCAGTAACCACATCCTGGAAAACAGAGTTACTTGAAGAATTCCTTTTGCATCTTACCACCTTAGAGTTTCTTTCATTGTTTCACCCCAAGGCTCATAAATCAATATAGACTTCCATATCTCCCCTTCACATTTAAATGTTAATTAATATTTGTCTGTATCCATGGGTTTGAAAAGTTGGTTTATTAATAAAGGTTATTATTAGTTCAGGTGGGTAGCTGCGTCAGCATACACGTAGCCTCCAAAGGAACAAGTAATAGGTTTATTCCATGTTGAAAGGAGAAGAGAGAAAACACGTTTCAGCTGTAAAGCCTTCTTCAGGTGTGGACACACCTGAAGACACACCTGTGGACACACCTGAAGAGGTTTTTATTATTCTCCTTGTCCTCCTTGTTTGAAGAATCTCTACTCCTAGCCCCATCATATAATGTGAACTGCATGCAGCCCTGTATACAGTAAGATAGCTTTTGAACTACTATGTTCTCCACTTTGACAGTACAGTGCCACATAAGTCAAGTAAACATTCCAGTAATGAATAAACAATATTTATGAAGGTGATGTTGAGTCACTGAAACCTCTAGGAAAAAATCAATAAAAATTCAATTCTGATTTTTTTTTCCATTACACAGCACACACCAGGGTTACTTGTATAAAAATCCAACAGAATTTCATTAACACAAGCCAACATTTTGGCCTAGAGTGACTAATAACCATTGCTTGTTGGGACATGTATTGTGTCAGATTTCAATAATGCTATTGCAGTGTAGTGAAGTGGTACATCAGAATAGTTTTCTCCTGTCTTTTAAAAATGTTTTTGCTGTTCACGCTATGTCTCTTTTCCTTCGTTCTCTAGATTGACTTTCAGACATTTCTGACACTCTCTGATGAGGACCTCAAAGAAGTGGGAATTTCAACTTTTGGGGCAAGACGGAAAATGCTCTTGGCTATTTCTGGTACTATGTTTGCTTTTAAAGACTTACCCATTTGGATCTGTTTTTCAATGTTGGTGCACACCAACTTTCTATCATTTTTAAGTAGAATGAATTCTATCATGATAAAACAGTGCTTATGTTTATTTTAGTTTTCCATTTAAACAACTGTTATTTAGCCTGAAAATGGCGCCTGGTGCTTACAGGTGTTAGCTTTTATAATTGTAATTAAATTATAATTATAACTTTATTAGTCCATGCATGCTCTCTTCTCTCATTTAGTTATGTGGGGACAATAACTCCTCTTCTGAAGTACTTCAGTTTTCCTGAAGGCATTGAGAGAAAGATTTGATTATATAGCACATACTCGTTGAGGACAAAACCACAGAAGAAAAATAATGTATTTGATTCAAAGTTAAGGCTTAAGGTTTCATCAGATACATTCCTTAACTTATTATACATGCTCAGATGGGCTCTTAAAATGGATTCCTTTTTTTCCCCCTTAGAGTTCAACAAAAATAAAAAGAAGTTCCTGGATCCCCCTGCAGTAAAGCCGGGGTACCTGGAAGGTGGGGCAAGTGGAAGGCTGCCCCGGATAGTGGACATGGACATAGGAAGCCAAAGTAACTGCTGGTAAGGGGCAGCAGGAGAATTTGCACTGCTGGCCTTAGTGAACCATCATGGCTGCAGAGCAGTCTGCTATAGATAAGTTCGTCCCGGTGCAATCAAAAAAGTCCTTGGCCACTTCATCCAGCTTGATGTTTCCTTCCTCGGACTGATCCAACACCCCCGTTGTCTGACATCAGCAACCATGTGGACAGTTTTGCTGTTGCCTGAGCTGATTGGTGGGCTGATGTTCATACAAGAGGTGGTAACAATTGCCTTTTATTGACTCCTTTGGAAATGTCTTGGTGCTGCTGCATATAATGTTGTGGAATTCATCAAGCTGCAACAGTTGTGTCCTAGGAAATAACCCTCAAAATAAAGATCACCCACTGGTGCTGTTTCTGTGTGTCAGTAGAGCTGAGGAATCTGTTACAGAAGACTATGTCAAGAGGAAAACCTTCACCTTACACGCAGTGGTTGCCAAGACACGACACTTCAGGCGCTGTAAAATAAACCGCACACAGGGAACTTTTATCAAAGCTTCGTTTTCCAATTGTGTTTTATTTTTCTGTGTCAGCTTCTGGTCCTGTCCAGCAGCTTATCTTGTCTGATCACAAAATTCAAATTCATACAGTGAAGATATTTTTTATGAATAAAATTACCAAAGTCATTCGGTCTTTGAGCACCAACAGAGCAGCAATGTGCAACCGCCTCTTGACGGAACTATCCACAGTAGAGACATCTGTATCGACGAGAGAGAGTTGTGAATGATTTTATGTCATTGGTGAACTATCTGATCATGTCAGAATAAGGTTACTCTTAAAAAACGTTATTACTTGATATTTATCAATCAATGTGCTTGTGCAGAAAGTGCCTAACTTTTGTTGCCTCTCTGGGATGACTGATATCCTACTGCAGATTTATGTTTTTAATTAACATAAGTGTTCTGTAAAACAGACCACTCAATCCTGATCTGGTTGACACGACAAGAACCAAAGTTTTATTCAAATACTGGGAAAAACCAAGGTAATGCCCCCGTGTGGAAGTCAGTCTGACAGCTTAGATAAGGTGTCTCTATGTCTCCTTTCTACACTGAGATAAAGATGAGATTTTTTTGCAATACAATTTGTATTATTTTAAATAATATTTAAATAAACCATTGAGGCTTTAGTAGAAAGCTTGTGGTGCAAGTTATTTTTTCAACTTTTAATGTTCTAAGTATAATGGCCTTAGGTTTGAGTGTATTAATGCCTAATCTTTTTTGCCATTTGCAATTCTGTTACAAATAATATACATATACCTGGGAATTACAGGTGGCTAGTACTTCACATAGCTTTACATTGACATGCATGTATACATGTGTAGGTTAACAAAGATATGAGCTTCTCAATCCCATTTTCACACTCTCTTTTGTCCTCCTTCTGCACCTCCTTACCTCTATTTTCCTGTCCCTCTCTCATTCTTCCACAACTTTGAAGAAAGATCCACATCCGCAAAACTGCAAAGTTCTGTTTTTTTCCCCTATTAATTCCTACTGTTCAGCATGGAATTCACCTCTGCTTGTTCAACTGCAAATGCAGTCACTTCACCAATGATTCTGGCATCTTAAGTAATAAGAGCCATTATGTGTGCATGTAAGGAGCATTATGTGTGCAATTAAATCGGATTTCACAATAGATGTATTCATTGAAGCAGAAAGTGGTATGCAATCATAAAAAACTTTGAACTATTTTTCTGAACTATTATGGTTTTCATTTAATTCTTCGCAGAAAGCGTCACACCAGCAGGAAGGTATTTGCTCGTTCGGCCACCAGAGGGCACTTCTGTCATCTGAATTTAGTAATACTATACTAGTTTATTTACACCGAACATTAATTTTCTGCACGATTTCAGTATACAAATATTTTGGACTGTTTGCAGGATATTATTTTGTTATACTATAACGTTAAACGAAAATTAAGGAAAACTAACGTTTACCTCGATCGGAGTTTAATCTGAGATAAATACAGTAAATTAAAGGATTGGGTGCTCGGTCTGTTTAAGAATGACTTGCTTTCGTAACAGTTTGTTGCAACACATCATTACGGTTCTGATTTAAGAATATTTTGCGCATCCGAAATAGTGCTTAAACAGCTACATTGGAGAATGTTTTCCTTGGGTTTTGTTGTCTAAAGAAGTGCCGCATAGTCGCACAAAGTTGGTTACAAATTAAAACGGTTTAAAATACACATAATCCCAAAGCCCAGGAATTTGCAGTTTCACGAGATATGTACACAATGTACATGAGTAAAGTACACAACAAAGCAGTACTCCACCTGTCAATAGCTTCATTCATATATATATAATGAATGGAAGCAGTGGAATGTTGCCACATGTATGCCTGGAAAAACTAAAATGATCTCCTTTAAAAAATCGAAACATTGGAATAAAAACATTCATCGAGAGCAGACCATTCACGGCATCAGTACTAAAGGACACTGAAGAAGAAATGATCCTTCCCTTCATATAAATTTTTAACAACATATTTACTCCGAAAGAACTGGACGTTATGCTACACTGATGGAATATACCAGCGGGCACGAACGTCCATAACACTCAATAATGAAAGCCCATATCTTTTTGATGTATTTGAATGTTTCTCTAGAGATTATGTTCTTCTCGGGCACATTACCTGCTGCCTCGCCCTGTATCCTTACTACGGCAGTGAGATTTACACGACATCGACCTGGAGGCTCAGGGTTTTCTTTTACTGATTGTAAGAAGTACAACATATTGTACTTGTAACACCTAGAAGTAAACAACGATGTCTGGCTATTTGGGCGATACCATATACAGTACTGTTTATGTATGCTTGAAGATCTGTTTTACCCGTTTTGTAAGAAAAAAGCCCCAATGCAAACGCATATAATCGCGCCCGCTACAGTTAATTACATTTAGTCCCATGTTGCTTTAATTATTTCAGGAGAGTGAAGCGTCACTGCAAATGGGGTGCAGGACAAATCAGTAATGCCGAATTCATAGACATACATTTAAATCGAAATAAAGTTCTAGTTTGTGTCTGCAATACGCTTTATGAATGAATTACCGCTTCGAAATGAATCAATCTGTAGAGGTGAAAATTGTGTGTTACTGTATAAACTTTAGGGGAGCAGCTGTGCTTTCTTCCCGTACCTAAAATTTATATTGAACGGCAAACAAACGCCTATGTTTCCCAGCCCATTTTGATTGCCTCTCTGTCTTATCGTTTATCACTGCACAGTTGGCGCTCATAAACCGCTGTCTGCGTATCTCATCCGTCTTATATGGTATCAAATTAATATTGCCTTTGGGACCAGGGGCTGCCACGTCCCCGTGGCTCTTGTATTGAAGAGCACAGTGATACACAAAGCACTGAAACCTAAATAATTCAGAACAGACAGCATTTCAAGACTTTATTGTTGACCACAAGACATCGGATTTTTTTTGTAGGAATAAGGGATGTTTGTTAAAGACCATATGTGAACTCATTTTTTCTGTCATTATTCAGGAAAAAGCTCGCTCTCTATGTACAGTCCTAGCGTCAGTCCTACTGTCTGGAAGAACCTCGTGGTGCTGAAAAGAACAGCTCTTCTCTGCTTTGGAAAAGACTAGCGGCTCTTGTGCAGTACTGTACACCTACCATTAAACCACAGGAACAACCACGAATAGTGATCCATACAACTCCAAATACAAATGAATATAAGACATTCAGTTAAAGAACTCCATTAGAAAGTAGCCGACGGTCAAGTGAAAAACCTGGAAATACCTTTATGCGGTATTGAACTTTTAACGGCGAGTGTTTCTTTAGGTCTAGCTATCTAATTTGTCTTCTACCTTTAAAAGTAGCACCTTTTCAAGTTATTGAACGTCTTCACTTTGCATTAGGCATTATAGTATATGTAATGACAGCATGATAGTCTATTATTTTCTTGTCACTATGAGCAATTATGCAGAAGCAGCTTCTACAATAGTTTACAAATGGAGCGTTAACAGAGTAGATTTGTAGGCTTACAGGTCACGTAGGTGAGAATTAAGCTGCAAGTCAAATGAGTGAGTGGTATGCAGTTTAAATTTCACTCGCACACGGTTGCGTGTTTTATCTCGAATTAACAGAATACACAGGACTCAGTCTTTATAGTCCTCTATATTTTGTACTTGGTCCTTATGATCACATACGAAGTCCAGTCTCTTCTTGTTCAGCACAAAACACGAATATGCATTGTTCAGTCGAGTTGTTCAGTTTAAATATCAATAAGCAAAGTTTTAGGTACATACTGTAGGAAGTGCAACCCAATTTGAAAATTACGAAAGGGGAAAAACATAACATCCTATCTATGTTAATTGATCGGGAAAATTCATGACAGTATGGCTGACGACCTGCTTCAGTTGAGCTAAGGTTACATTTGTTGATAATTTGAAGGCACGATCCAGTTTCAGCGAAGTGTTGAACACCTGCTACCAAGCATACACTCGAGGGAGGAAAAAGCACTGCTCCTGGAGGTGGGGTCTCTCCAGAAAGAAGGGGGAGTCTGTTCCGCTGTTTTCTGGGGGTGGAGATTGCCATTGTTTCGTGGTTCAATCCTGCTGCTCGCACTTGCAATTTCAAGTCAGCTTCGCAACGGAGTTGAGAGGTGGCGCAAGACTCCTGGATACTTTCCTAACGTTTGACACAAAATAAAGAAAACGACAATTAAAATCAAACTCGCAGCCTGTGTTTTGGATAGCCCGGTACAAGCGAATTTAAGATTGGTAATCGTAGCAGCGTTGTATAGAAAGAAAGCGGTGCAAAGACAGAAAGAAACTGCATATATTCTGGTTTAACTGCGAAGGAACGCTTACAGGAAGGTAAATTCGTGGGAAATTTTAAATGCATGTATGGAAGCAGTATAATTGTTTATTATATTGTTTATTGTTTATTCTGTAATCTATTTTCCTGACGTGTTGAATAATATAAGGTACCGTACCCAAGAAAGTAAAAATATCATCAGTACAGTTTCAGATGCGAAGGTTTCGAGGTTTCTATCGAAGTAATTTTAACTCACAATTATTCTGTTTTTGCAAAACCGAACTAGTCCTCCTCAATCGCTTTTTGTTTTGCAGAACTGGTTTTCTGCGGTCGATTGCAACACACAACACTCTTTTTTATGTAGACAAAACAATCGATCTTTATATATTACGCTGATCATTATATATTGGTTGTTTAAGCAATTTGAACACGCTGCTGTTTATAGTTTTGTGCGCTTTCAGTGTCATTTTCTATGTATTTTTTTCAGATGATGCTTCATTCACTGTTGGGTTTCTTTGCGCTCCTGCTGCAAGTTGAAGGCAGGCGCCCTGAAATTATCACCAGTAACAACAATGGAAATTCCTTGGACAATGACAAATGGTTGAGCACCGTCTCCCAGTACGACAAGGATAGATATTGGAACAAATTTCGAGATGTGAGTGACCTGCTTTAAATCCAGTTTTAATTATGTTACTACACCTGTATTTTGTCTGAAGCCGGAGGCACCGGCGTTAATATAATCATGTAGAATTGTGTATGCTTTTCCTGGAGAAAGGTTTGATATCCCATCGATTTGTGCTCTGAGTTTTTAAAGAGACAGCGCACACCTTTCAGATTAATTCTTAGGAATAATTTACTGCAGCCTGCAGAACTAGTCTGAAAGTGCATCAAACTCACTCTGTAGCCTCATGTTATATTTATAAACATCAAATATTACTTGTAAATATGTATGGATTTAATGTCTTATTCGCCTGTTGCCCGAAATAATTTTATTTTAAAAAACGTTTCATGGCGATATATTTTGTATTAGGAAAGGTCTTCATTACCATATTCCAGAATAAGAATTCTTTAGGTATTTCGCGGTTTTCTCAGAGGATGTAAACAAAACCCATATTTAATGTGTCTACTAATGGTGTTTAATTTTCAAACGTTAGGCTTAATTTTTCGTGTGTGCTGCGAATACCATTTTTTAGAGAGAAAAAAGTAGGTTTAGGTGATTTTAAATTGTTATATTGGTAGGTTTATTGTGGCATTTATGTAATATTTAATAACAGAAGGCCAAAGATGTTTATAGAAGCCTACAGTCAGTTCCTTCAGAAGTATTTACTATGTATAACATATTACCACTGATGTTACTGGCTCCAGAAAAGGACAACAGAATCTTTTTGTTAGGAACTATGAATTTAAATTATATTATGTCCGATACCAAGCAAGTCAGATGGATACACATATCATTGGAAGGCTTGTTAATTTTGTTTGTTCACTTTTCTTTTGAAACGTATTCAAACAATATGAAAAATGTTACTTTTCAGCACAGTTATATAATGCAGTCTTTGAACTTGATTCTGATTCAGAAGAGATAGTATTTTAAAAATAGTAGCTCCCAGTGATTACCTCAGTGTCTGCTGCTCTTCTTAACATAATAATTAGTCGGCAACATATGCTTAGACTGATTAAAATAACATCGCTTTTGGAAGGTGCAGATCTTATTTCTTAATTTCCTCTTAAAGTTTGTCAATTTACCTGTTATTTCTTTTTTCATTTCAATTGTACATGCCTTTCATCTGCTGTTATTACTCAGTTTGCAGTGGGAGGATGACTGCTCTGATTTGTGGCTTGTTATATTGCACTCTGGAGACCTGCTTACTTCCCTGCCTAACATGCAAATTAAGCTCATTAGAAGGATGGTTCTTGCCATTTTTGGAGACCCTCTGGGCTGTGGCATGTTGGTTAAATATTTGATGCTTGCAGTTACTGGATTGCTGACTTCACACCTTATTCTTTGTTTGTCCTTTATGTCTGAAGTAGTGTTGCTCCTGCACTGCCCATCTGTTTCTCCCTTACCTCAGTGTCTGCCCTGCCCTTTCCCTTGTGAGGAGAACTAGGAGTCCTGTATAACTGTGTGGCTTTTGCCTTTTAAAGTGTTGACTCAGCTGACCTTCAACATTCAAGGCATCTCTAGCTGTGCAAGGTGTTGCTGTGGAGTAAATAATGCATAAAAATGTTTTATATGATCGATACATTTAGATTCAGTGTTGCATTTCTTGGGTAGCTAAGCATATTGAATTTAACCAACCTCTCTAGGTTTGAGTTTGTTTAATTGGGTTCAATGTTTGCTGCATTTGTAGGTTTCACATCTAAAATTAAGCTTTACATTTTTTTCCCTAAAAAGTAACATCCATTATTTTGCTTGCATTCTAAAATTCAATGGTTCATAACGGGTGTTTGCAACCCCAGTTGTGGAGAGTCTTATTGTCTTCTGGTTTTAGCTGAGCACAGAGATGTGAGCAAGCTTTCCAGATTTCTGGTCACTTTCCTTTAAGACCACTCATTAAACATGCAGGGCTGTGGCTCTCCATGACCAGATCTGGACAGGTCTTATTCCAAAACAAGGTAATGATGTTGAAAAACATTTTGGCAATGTTTTGTCTGTTATGTTGACAGATCTCACAAAACTATATGGGTTTAATGCATGGTTCCACTTCCGTTGTGTTTATTCCTTACCAAGGAATACACATATTGAAAACATGATCTATTTTACAAGGGCATACTGTAGTGTTTCATAGGTTCATTAAACTCACCATAACCCAGGTACTTAAGGGGACCAATACAATTCAGACAGTTTACCTTTACTAACTTAAATGCAGTGATTTCTTCTTTCTTGTTAAGAATTTGAGTTTATGACATATTCTCTTTAATACTAAAGGTTTAAGGAAGGCAGAGGAGTGGGTTCAGCCTAGGTGCCCATAGGTTTTCTATAGAATTCAATCAAGGCAATGTCAGAATGTCAGCAAATTCCTGAACATTCAGGAAAGTGTGTTTTTTTTAGTTTAAATGTGTTATAATGGCATATGAATAAAAAAACACCTGCACTTTCTTGCTTTGCTTAAGGTTTATTAGTTTTGGTTTCTTCATTGACAAGATTATTATTCGTAATGTGTCTTGATTGCCGTTAAAATAAAAAAAGCTTTGCTTAGAAATTTGCTATTGTAAATATCATACATTTTATACCATGAGCTTTAAATCCTGATTTGTAAAACATCAAATTGGCAATGGCTAGAAAGGTATCCACCTTTTCATTTTTTGTTATTGTCTGCTTCATTTGTATTTGAAATTCCCTTAAAAAAAGCTTGCATACTGATATCTTATGTTCACATTTCATTCATTAATCTCTTGGCTGATATATTATAAAAAAAATACATACAATTATTGTAAGTTTATGGGGCTATCAAATTGATTCTGGGACACTATTCTTCTTTGCCCAATTCCAGCATTAGGAAGACATTGGGGCTTAATTTGAGAGTTTGAAATGCTGCATAGTATACAGTGCTGATCATTCTGGGACTGTTCGTTTGGAAGAGCCACAAGGAATTACATTGTAAATGACTTGATGAGTAGCAACACAGGGGATCTCAGCGGGATCTCTCCTAATTTTAATGCAGGCTTTTATGGATAACTACAAAGCCTTAATTGAATCAATCTTCACCTTGCAGTGTCACAGTAGATAAATTAGGCCTAACAGTTGACAAATGCCCATTAATATTTGACCGATTAATCCTTCTCAAACACAGAAAGAAAAGGGAAGCTCCCAGTCAGCAAGCATTTTCTGGGTAATTTGAGATGAACATCAGCACTTGCACTGAGTCATTCAGAAACAGACTTGGGTTAGAGTTCCTTCTCCCCGAGACTGCACTCATAGACGAGTAGTCTGAAATCTGTTCTCAACTGAACAGTCATCAAAGGACAAAGCTCTTAATAGCATGGACTGAAACACTATTTGAGAATTGACAAATCTGATTGACAAAAATGTGGCATTCTATTTAATCACTTCTGCGTTAAGGCTTTATAAACAGAACACATAATGAACCCTCATATAATGTCTTCTCTATAAGATTTTAGCCTGTTGTATCCTAAAGAAGAGATTACTTTACAATGGCTGTCAATATTTTAGTCATCCTGTTTTGAAGGATGCAATATGACTATAAAAAGGATGTTTTACAAGATCATTAGGTTAGTAATTTGACTTGCAATATTGATTCACAGTCCTATAAAGCACACTCATTCTGATCCTCCTGTAAAGTAAATAAAAATGACATATTCCTCAATGCAATTTTGTGTCTACTTGCACTACCTCAGTGAGACATGCTAGCTATAGGAGGACCTTTTGGTGTTACCTGCTTTATTTGGTGATGTCTGAACTTTACTGTTTTCAGTGGTTACAGTTTTCAGAAGTTCTCTACACAGGATAACCTTGCAACCTTGCAAATGTGCACCTTGTTTAGACAATGAGTCTTTTAACCCACAACTGTGTCCAATCCACTTAATCTAGACTGGTTAACTTAGGGTCAGGTAAATCGTTTTCACTGTTACTTCGGTCTTTTACAGATCACAGTGAAGTACTTGATGATGTCCATCAAAGCACTGAACACCTCTTTAACAAGAGCTTGTCCGTTGGATTAGAAAAAAAGCAGACCTGAAGTCTGAACCCAAATGCCATATGTATTTTCTCAGGCTAATATGAAATTAACAACATTTCAGAAAAAAGTTTCCTCAATCTAGAGGTCCAGAGGTCCTTGTATACTTACAGTATATAGTTCCCCCTACTGTTTGGTGAATAATATTTATTGTTAAAACGTTGACTTTGTGGATTTTACTTGCTGTATTAATAGGGAAAATTACTTGGGTTGCATTGTGGTTGCTATTTAACACTTTGAACCATTTTCATTTCACCAAATCTCTTTAATTTCTTATATTTCAGTGCCTCAGTAACTTCAAGAACACATGGACCAATGCCTCTTGTTTGATCAAGATTTTGTTTGGTAGTTAGGCTTTTGGTAATCGCAAATGGACAGACTGGTATTAAAACAGCAATTACTTGTACCACAGTTCAACAGTGCTTTAGAAATGTAATTTATTCTTGTGCTCATTAAGGGTATTCAATTGACAACAGAGAAAATATTGTGCGGCGTTAGGCAATTGTAGTTTAAATTTCCCTTAGCATTTCACCCTTTGCCTGGAGGGACACTATTCCTCAAATAGCCTTTTTTTTCTCCCAAGCTTTTAATCTGTCACTTCACACATAGGTAATTGCTTGTACCATGAATACTAAAAATAACTTCCAAACACGTTTGTGAAAATACCCTTTGATCAGCGTGTTCATCAGTCGACTGCAGTTTCTGGAATTTGTAGATTCATCAGATTCTTAGGCATTCTTCTGTCTTTTTCCATCTTATTTTTGTGGCAGAGCTCCTGTCATTTGAATCAAAACAGGATCTTTGATTGTAAGCAAGTTGAAAGCTGTTTCTATCATTGAAACACATTGTTTGTTTCCTTCAAAAGCAGTGGCTGTGCTGGCTCCCCTATCTGATTTCAGCTTATCTTTGAAGTGTACAGGGATACAACTACTTCTTAAAGAAAGAAATTAATAGCAGACAT